GTCTTTGTAAATGTCATTAGAATCTAAATGACTATTAAGGGGGTCGACTGAATGGAATAACCATCAGATTTCGACAGACCCTTCTTTTCCTTCTATTTCTTCTTCTCTTCTTCTTCCTCTTCTTCTTTCTTCTCTTCCTGGTTCGGGTTACTGTAGCAGCATTCGAAACAAGGATGATGTTACCCATAAAATTACAGTAGGATGGGAAAAATGGAGGTCTGTAACTAGAATTTTATGTGATGGGAAAATACCACTTAGGTTAAAAGGAAAATTTGATAAAATGGTTGTAAGCAAGGATCAAAATATCAATACGATATGCCTTATATTAGGCATATTGTATCCGTATCGGTGGACTCCAAAACACATGGATACATCAATAAAGAAAATGTTTGGGAGTTTTAAAACTTTGGGGGCTTTAACAGCACCCTTCTAATACCTAAAAAATAAAAAAAAGTGACTATTGTCCATATCAAGATGCACTGATACCCAATTGAGGGCATTAGGTGTAACAATTTTTTGATACTTGGTTGTAAGGCCAGTTATGCTGTATGAAGCAAGAGTGTTGGGAAATCAAAAAACATGTCCAAAAAACAAGTATAGCAGAAATCGATGAGTGAAAAAAACTAGAAAGGATAGGGTCAGAAATAGTCATTTGAAGAAACCTAGGAATAGCTCCAGTAGGTGATATAATGAAAAAATAGTAGACTAAGATGGTTTTGTCACATGTATAGAAGACCTTTGACAGCACCCATAAGAAGTAATGTGTTGTAAGTTGAAGGGGCTAGTAGGGGTAGGGGTAGACCAAAAAGGACATGGGTCTAAGTAGTAAGAAATGATTCAAGTTCTAATTATTTAACAATGGATACTGTATTAAACAGAATGGAATGGTGAAAAAGGATTCATGTAGCTGGTCCCATAAAGTTAGGATAAGATTTGGATGATGATGATAATGATTTCAAGGTGTTGTTTGAGTTGTAAAGAGAACATTTACGTGTTTTAGGGTGGAAGAATGCAGAATTGCTGCCCATTATGGGTCTGAGGTCCAATCCACTGACAGTCTTTTACATTGGGGCCACAACAATAGAAATTTAGGTTGTCCAGAATTGAGCTTGTAAACATTATATGCCCAGCTGTCCAGGGGATAGATATTGGGTGCAACTAGCATTGGACCAACTAGATTGCTCAGGAGTTTCCCATTCATTGCTGCAAAAGGCTTCCTTAAGATCTTACTCAGAGCACAGGTTATGGTTTTCAAATACAAGTTTTGTCCCCTATAGAATTAGTTATATACTCATTGTAAAACAGTTAATAAAGAATATGTGAAATTTTTTTACAAAGCTATGTGTGTTAATTAACTTGGTTTTTTCCTTTTAGTTTTGCTCAAGGAGTCAATTTTCTTACAGTGGGGAATCTCAATCATCCATTGGTTTGGGACTGCATAGCTATATTCAGTTTTCTCTCTTATCCTATCTAGTTTCTATAATCTATCCTTTATTTCTTCTTTGTCTTTCCATTTTTGTGCAAGCAACCGTTGAAGTTGCTGCAGATCTGATTTATCTGGGAACTATGGGGGTAGATCTAATTTGCCTTCTTAAGGAACTGTAATTATTTGCTATAGACTTGTAAAAGCATTTAACATATAATAAGCATCTTCGCAAGCATTTTTCATATTTACAATCATACTGACATTTTTATTTTTACCTTGATTAATGCATATTATCTTCATTGTTTCTAGGAAAAGGATATGCGCCTTTAGCAAAGAGCAGGAGCTCATGGTTAAAGACTTATTTGAGCAGTGAGTGTTCAAATATTTTATTTGCATCACCCCTTATACTTAAAAACAATTAAAATGGTAGAAAATAGAAACCAGAATCATCTCACTAGTACATAGTTACCATTGTTTAAATCTGGATTCCTATGATTTAATTATTGTGTATGCAGGTTTAAAGACCACAAGAGGTGCAGCTACATGATCGCAAAAGCGTTAGATGCTGATAACACATTTACTGCAGCTCAAGTGTCACATAAACTTAAGCAACTTGGTTTACTTGTTCCTCGAAAAAAGAGACCGTCTGAAGGCAAGAAGCACTTGCTTGACAAGCATCCCAAAGGATTGTTTTCAGATGTGGAGGAAGACAAATCTGATGAAGAAACACTGATTTCACTAATGAAAAGGTTAGTTGTCTGCTTAACTTTTGCAAATTTGTACTCTCCATAGGGCTGTAAGGTATTTGCCTGTGTTGTATATTCTCTAAATAATTGAAACATTTATTCTGGCATTTCTTAGATTTGGCACTTAGTGGAGAACAGTACATGTGCACAAGTTGATGTTAGATGAGTAGTAGCATATCGTATTCGTTCGACCAATTGTATAGTATTGAAGGGTTGCTAAACTCGCCTATTTTGTGATAGAAAAGAAAAATATATGCAAAACATAAAGTCAGAGAGATGCAAGAAAACCATAGTTAATTTTTATAACAAGTTCATACTTCATAACTTACATAACAACATACAGAGGGAATAGAAAATTTGCCTGTGAAATGAAGTATAATAGCAAATTCGGTGAATGAGTGGAGGGGCTTGAGCTAAATTTCAGCTGGAGGCCCCTAGGAATCAGGTTTGACTAATTAAAGTGGTCAAGTAATAAAATATGATTATTACAACAACTCTTTGGAAGTAGGCAATGCTGTAAAGAGAATTTATTAGGACAAAAGAAACTCCAGATGAGAATAACTCCCCCCCCCCCACCATCTACAACAAAGACGCTGCTGTAGATATGATTAGAGATTTAATTGAATATCATGACCTTTTAATAGTGGTGCCAGACTTCATGCAAGCATTGTGTGATGAAGGCAAGGACAGTAAATGCTCCCTTTCTGCTATTCAAGTCAATAATTCGACAAGCAACAAGGCAAGTTAGTAAAAACAGTACAGAGGATTTCTAGACCTGCTTGCAAGAATAGGAATAGAGATTTGATTTACTTTTACATGTTACTTATCATGGCTCCTAATAAGGGCTAGTAATTGAAATGCCTTCCACCAGTTGCCATATAAAAGGGCACAAAAACCCTTTATGTGAAAATGGAGACCGAGACTTCCTACTCTATGATTAGTTTTTTCATTCTTGGTTTGGTTCTTTAAGGCTCCTCTTTATTTTTCTTTCATTCTCTACTAATTCATTAAACCTGGGATTGTAATCTTGAAAAAGGAGCCATTATTTGGTGCAATGGTGAAATCTCAGGCTAACAAGCATTAGAACATGAATTTAAATCTTTTTCCCAGTCTACCCTTCCCAAGACCTGGATAACTGGAATCATCATTGTGTAATGGCCCTTTAAAATTATCATCATGAAAATACTAAAGTAAAATTTGATATGGCTTATTGATTTTCTTTTATTTTTTTCTCTTATTTTCTTTATTATGATTATAATAATTAGGTTATTTAGCTCCATGCTGCAAGTTTTGTCCAATTCTGAGAACTGTCAGTATTCCTAAAGCTTATACTGTTAAATCTTGGTAGCTGATCATTGATTGCTAAGCATGTAAATTTTTGTTAACTTTAACAGGAGCAAAAAGAGCAAGCCATTCTTTGGGGATGTTGCCACTGCAGATTTACCTAAACAGAATATTGAAGCAACATCTTTACAGGATTATTCTGATGAGGAACTTCTGATCTCTATTCTGGAGTGAGCTCTCTCTCTCTCTCTCTCTCTCATACACACACACACACACACACAAACAACACTGGATGATGGATTTACAGTTTCTTTTATTCTTCTGAATGGCCCACAAAAATATCTTTGATAATGTAATACACTAACATGATCTAAAATACATTAAAAAAGAAATAACTATTTAGAAAAAAACTGTATACTTGTTATCTCAATATATTAAAAAATGATGCATTTGAGGATGGGCCTTGGTGCAACGGTTGGGTTGCTCCATTGTGACCTGGGTGACCAGGGTTCAAATCTTGAAAACAGCCTCTGTGGGTAAGGCCGCATACATCTGTCCCTCCCCCAGGCCCTGCATTGGTGGGAGACTTGTGTACTGGGCTGCCCTTTATTCAGATATGATGCATTTCCTTGACAGATATCTTTTTTAATCTTTTGCCTTATTTTTGTTTTTAAAATCCATTTAAAAAATATCTTTTTCTAAGTTTATCACACATTTGGTATTATACATATGGTTTGCAATTTCTCTGAAATATGGCAAAATTTCCCCAAAATTTCTCTATATTTTGCCAAATCCCAAGGGGCAAAATGAAGACACTACAGAATAAATAAAGAAAAGGTACTTGAATTTATTGAATATTTGGCCTTTCAATCAACACCTTGAACTAGGTTTTCAAAATAAAAGTTCTTTTAAAAAATTTAGTTGGGTAACTATGTAAGAATAATTAACTCTATAATAATTATGCAATAATAGAAAGCTTGTAATAATTAATATGATCTTTTAATTTAAGATAGAGATTATCTTGAAGAACCTCTAAGTGAAGGAGTTGGTATATAAGAGTTAAATGTGGTTTTTTAAGGTTGCTAACCTTACATGATAATATTAGATGTTACCACTGATACCTATTCAAGATTTTAAATTATAAGTTTTGAATGTGTAATTATTACCTTTTTTAAGATATTCAAGTTTTATAAATAAATTTCAAATTCTTTTTAATATTTTTATATTTCCCAATTTCCTCACATTTCTAGATATCTGAGTGGAATTTAGGAAATCCCCATTTACACATGGCAAAAGCCCTAACAAAATATAAACTTTGAACCATGGTTATGGTAATATATTTAAATATTGAGGAATTGCGTATTGGGCCGTTTTTCAATTGCCTTGCTTTGAAGATCTTTATTGCTTTATTTTTTTAGTTGCAGCTTACCATTATAATTGCTGCATTTCTTTTAACTACCTTTGTTAATTCCTCTTTCTTAATATACAGTAAAACTGGTAAAAGGCATGCTTCAAAGGCACGGGATGAGAAACTCACAATTAGCTCAGTTAAGGAGACAGCAATTGGAAGTAACTCTACTCAAGGTGCTTCAGGAAGGTATGTTGCCTTTTGATACCCACCCAAACTCTTCTTGATAAGACATGAGTGAAATTTACCATGTATTATCCTGTGGAATGCTTTTGAATTCTGTTCCGAAATAAAAAGATGTTTGCTTTGCCTAAGGCTCAGTTTGGAAGGAGTGCAGATACAAATATGTATAGTGCAAATACAGGTTTAGAAATACAAAATACAAGGCTTTGTATTGTGCATATTTGCATTTGCACTCTTTCCAAACTGAGCTTAAGGCTGTGTTTGGTTGCAATGCAAATAAATTTGTACTGATGCAAAACTATGGCAATGCAAATGATTCGAGTGTAAATTCTGGCCTATTTTTATTTCAAATTTTAGCTTATTTTGTTTGATTGCAGTACAAACGAAGTAAATTAAGACATGAAGCAGAATAAAATAAAACCCAAAACAAAATTAAACAAGAATTTGCTTTTTTCATTTACACTCCCATGCATTTGTACTAGTACAAATGAAATTGCACTGCAACCAAATACAGCCTAAAGAACTTTTTTTTAAGCTACAATACCTGCCTGGGTACCTTATGTGCCGTACAAATCAGTGTCGGATACTGATGTGTATCCAATACCAAACTAAATATTGCACAAGCACTTTCAGAAATTATTTTTATAGCATTAATACTTACGGAATATGTGAAGTGGTATGTCTTGATAAATCATAGCGTAAAAAATTGTATTTGCTAGAGGTTTACGTTATACTAAATGGGAAATGGAATATTCACACCTATGTCCAAGTTCTCAGGAAATGGAGTTGTATCCCCGTTTCCTGTATCTATTTCCATATTGGTGTCTTTGTCTGGAGTCTAGACATCTTAGGTTCCAAGTTCTTTTTCCCTTGGATAAATTCCTAAATCCTATGAAATGTGTTTTATCTTTTAGCACTCAAGTCAAGGGTATCTGGTTACCTGCTATCATCTATTTGACTTGGGTCAATCCATCGTTAATCGTACCTTTCATTTCAAGTCCCCTCTGAAGGAAGCAGAAATCCATTACTGCTTTACCTCATCAGAAACGTAATGAGCATAAAAATCTATTTGCTGATTAGCCCAACTAATGATGCTCAATGATTTATTGGAGGTTGGGCATGAATTCGCCGTCCAGAACTGAATTGAAATGCATAAAAGAAAAAAAAAAAAATTCTGACCAGGTTTGAACGTCGAACTATCAATTTGCAAGTGTTTGTGCATTGAACTCAAATCAACTTCTGTCAAAGTCAAACCTTGACTAGTTATTTTGGGTTGGTATTTGCAGGGATTCAAGCAGCCAATCCAAGGAGGCAGGGCTACCGCATATTAATGATGTGGCACTCAACGTTGCTAACCTTAATCAAGAGGCTGAATTTTCTGGTGGGGGCAGTGATGAAGAGATGGAGTCTCCCGTGAACAACGTCTCACAACAAAATATCAATGATGAATTGGCCGATGAGATGGTGGACTCGGAGGATGATGTTGGGGTCGTTGCACGCACAAGTGCCGTATCAAGAAGGAAACTGAAGATGGTGATTGATGCCGACGATGACGAATAAAGTTTGCAGCGCGGTGGGGTCTTCTGTCTTCATACATTTGAAGGAAAATTGAACATGATTTGAGGCCATTCGGGAAGGTATTGGAACTTCTAATTTCCAAACCATGTTTGTTTGGACTAGGGATGTTCGAACAACGGCTTCCAGGGAGCGCAAAATTCAACTGTAAAAAGCTGGTTTCTGGAATTCAGTCAAAGCCATGCATAATGTAAATAACGTAATTTTATCAGGAGTTATATGCTGATTATGCTCTCTCTCTCTCTCTCGTGTTGTATGGATCCTTTATAGGCTTAGAAAATGGACAGCCATAAAAGGGCGTAATCCGTCTCTTATCCCTGGATGTCAATTCATATGACCTTTGCGGTGGGTTTTTTGGTAGCACATTGGTCTTGTGGGTGAGCTTCTGTTGATGATAATATTAACGGTGTTTTTTTTTTCGCAAATACAGCTCTAGATACGGATGATAATAAGGGTGGTGAGCCTGAGTCCAAATTAACTTCATTTGATGGCTGTTTTAGGGGCTGATTGAATGATAATAACGCCCCACATCACTCCACATCAGCCATCAAGAACATATCCCTCACAACCAGGCTAATCTTTCCGTGCACATTAAATAGCCCCTAATACAGCGATCAAGTGAAGCTAATCCGGACTCGGTGAGCCTTTTTTTGGTAGGAAACATATCTTGATAAACTAGCACAGCAGAAACAAAGAAAACAACAAACAACAACCAACAAGAAATAAGAACTAAAAACAAGGATAAAAGCACCTAACTACAAAGGAGCCATGTCAGCAGAATCTGTGATCATGGCCAAGGCTGTGGGCCTGTGGCGCCTAGTCCTAACTTAATATTCATTTCGCCCAATTTTTTCAGATTGGATTCGAATTGGCAGCCCAGAGGTTGATGAACAGATTACACTTACAGTGTTACGTGAATCTGTGATCATGGCCAAGGCTGTGGGCCTGTGGCGCCATTGAGCTAGACGGTTTAATATCAAAATTCCCATGGTTTCCTATGCAAGTATAGTACATATCTCCAGGTTGAAGGAGATGAAACATGAATACATGATGACATGATCCTGCTGTTGCAATCTTCCTTCTTCCCCAAAGAGGAAAGAGGGTTCACTGGCAAAGATTTGCCTGAGGGAAAGATATCCTTCTCAACGAGCCTAATTTTCAGTATCTCCGGCTCCGGGTATAAATTACTTGTACCACTCTCAGGTATTGGTCAAATGTTAAGACCTTCCCTTGTGTTTACGTATTTGAGTTGCTTGTTTTACCCTTTCATTATCATGCTTCAATTTTAGTGAGGAAAGTGTTTATTTGACATTTGCAATTTGTCAAAAGTATATTTTAACCTCAAATGGCACCTTATATATATATATTAGGAATAAAATATTCTCATTTATATTTCTTAAAGGGAAAAGTTTTTTTCTTAATGCGAATAAGAACTCAAAAACATGTTTAAAAATAGAATATAATAAAATAAAAGTTTGAGATGATAAAATTGTATTTAGTGTTTATAAAGGAGGTTGCTTTTATCAATTTCAAAAAATATAATTTAAAAATGAATATAATATTTTAAGATTTTAATAAAATACCTAATATTTCTATCTTGGCTTATAAATTCTGGTCCGGATCATTGCAGTTTTTTTAATTGTGTAAATTATAGACTACCACCCCTATACTTCGACCAATGGCCAATTGATGACCACCTAATGTTTTGTTTTTTCTTTCCCGGGGTCCGTAAAACACATAGATTATAGGTGTCATTGTCCTCAACCTCAAACTTGCGAGTTGCGATTTAAGTTGTTCGGGAACGATAACAAGTCAGATTAATGACAGGTAGGTAATCTAAATTTCGCATACTGCACAACGTTTTTGATTTACAGAAGCATGCGGGTTGAAAGCACCGTTCTTTGAGTATATGTTTGGCATTGATTTTATAGATGCAACGGTGCTGCTGATGTGTGGTTGAAAGAACGAGGCACATTTTATGGGTTATAAGGTCGGATTATCTATGGTAAACAGGTCGACAAGGTTACTGTTTACTAATTAATGTGTTTAACCAATTATTCTTCACCAATTAATTAATATTTTTACCGATTATTGCTCTTTTCACCGCTCCAATAACTGGTTATGTAGTGTTCACTAATTGATGAGAGTGTTTCACTAACTAATTAATGTGCTTTAATGGTTGTTGTTCATTAATTAATTAATTAATATGTTTTACCAGTTACTGTTTACTATTTAATTAATGTTTGTTAGTTACTACATTTTGTTAATATTTCAGTAATTTTCAAGCAAAATTTCGCAATAATTTTTGTTGAAAAATAAACCAAAAGTTAATTTTAGTAATTTGAGAAAATTAGATAAATTTATAATTTTAAAAACTACTTTCAAATAAGAAGTAAATAATTATATTTCCAAAAAAATAATTTTTAGTAAATATCATTAATTAATTTTCAAAACTTCATATTCAGATTTTAATTGAATAATTATGTTTCAGTAAATGATATTATTTTTATATTTTTAGTAATATTATTGAATAATAATTTTTCAATAATCATTTCTCAATAATTAAAAAAGATTACTGAAAATGTCAACTAATTGGTTATCCACCCTGATGGTGTGCGATCTGGATACTCTTAGCTGGAAGATGATTTGAATACCAGGCACGTGACGAGCTGGACCAAGCTGCAAGATAATAGATTAGAGAACCTAGGGTGGCTAACCCGACGAGGTCGCTCCGATGCTTAAGTCAGTACTATATTATGGATGCAAGCTGAATACTTGAATTCTAGAGTGCTAGTGAGCAAATAATCGCGCATACATTCGCTTTGAGGATTGATGCCCTTATATAGTTGAGTAGTCGTGAATCTTATGAAAAGGCTCCGGAATCTCTGGGTTGCGTAGATAAGATTCGTTCTATTTCCGAAGGAGAGTAATGTGCCAGTTGATAAGGTTTATTACTTCCCTCCGATTCGGGCGGAGTGGGGATGAGCCTTGTTAATAAACGCCGTGATCCCAAGGAATTCGGAGTCCATTGAAGAAGCTTCTGGAGTCGATTACGTGGCGCTTCGGTTCTTTGGCCCCGAACTTGCACCTCGATTCTTTGGCTCTGAACTTGCACTTCAGTTCTTTGGCTTTGAATTGGATTAGGTACCGACATGCCTTTATGGCGAGGTGCTCAAGACTTTGAGCTTCCAAGCTGTTGGGGAGGCTCCCTTGCTGAGTTGTCATCCTAGTGGCTGATCGCGTCCACGTGTACCTCGGTTGCTAGGTCGGGCCAACTTAACCCTCATCAATTGCCCCCCACTCCCCGCGCCAGGGGTCGCAACCTCGGTGTGGGGAGTTCACAGTCAGCGCAAGCAGGTTGGCCCGATTTCTTCTTGGTTCACCTCCCAGTTTTTTGGTCGGACCGATGTAAACTCCGCGGATGCCAAAAACTGCGCTCAACCAAAATCTTTCCTGGAAGGGAGTGCGGCTGGTTTTCACGAGAGCCGTAGGATCGCATCGATCTGAACCATTAGTTCTCGAATATGGTGGCTATAAATAGGGGGGACCTAGGTCCCCTTTCCTTCGTCCTTCAAAGTGCATTCGAGAGTTGATGTTGCGCATCCGTTCTTCAGCTCGCGTCTTATATTCGAGGTAGTTCGCTTCCTCTTTCGTCTTTCGATGAGTTTGCCTTGTTCCGCCCCTTTTTACTTCGAGTTCGCTTGTTCCCTTTTTATTCATTATGTTTGGTCTTAGTTTAGATAGCCTTCTAGATGGGAGCGGTGAGTCCACTGGGGCCGAGGTGGGTACCTCGGCACAGATTGCGAGGCTTCATCCTGCCGAGGTGGGCACTTCAGCACAGGATGAGGACCCCAATCTGTCTGAGGTAGACTCACATCGACGAGAGTGAGAAGCTTCTAGCAAATCGGCCTCCTTCTCACACCAAGGTCGCCTACCAAACATGCTCCTATCCTTGGTTGATCACTATAGACTTCCTAACGATCTCGTTTATAGTATCCCCTTAGGCCAATTTCCTTGGGATCACAGTCACGACGAGATTGTGGTCTTCGAGGAACAGCTCGTAGCTGGTCTTCGTTTTCCACTCCACCCTTTCATAGTTGAGATCGTCAAATTTTTTGACATCGCCATAGACCAGCTCCACCCGAACTCCATTCGTAATATTGTAGGTACCATCTCCCTTTTTCACGACTATAATCGACCTCTTGACCTTGACATTTTTTCCTCAATCCTTTCCATCAAAAAGAATTCTGCCTGTGTTCTACTCGAGCACGGGCGTAGTTACTACATGTCTCCACGCCCCAGGTACAATTTGTTACACGATCTCCCCAACAAAGTCCTGGCCTGGAAGAGGGGTTACTTCGTAGTTCATAACGTGGAAGGATGGCCTTTTCCAACCCACTGGAGACCTACCATCTAGGACCCCGATGTTAGGATGGATAAAAAAGTGCGGGAGGAAGTCTAGGCTTGGGCGAAGCTAGGTTTGAAGTTCGAGGACTTCGTGACTGAAGAGAAGCTCACGCAGGCCAGCCTAAGTCCTCCCGGTAGGTTGCTAACTATTGTACTCTTTCTCTTATTTTGTTTTACTTCGATAATATTGCATCTGACTCTATTCGTTGCTTTGTTGCAGTTATCATGGCCGATTTCTCTGACGACGAGCTCTTCAAAGGCATGCAGAAGGGCAAGAAGAAAAAGAGGGCCTCCAAGAAGGCCTGTATTCAAGAGGAGGTTCCCACTTCGGGCATTGGTGCCACCTCCTCCAAACCTTCAGCTGACACCGAACAACCCCCAGTCATCGACTTGGTCAAGGAGGACCAGGATAGGGCTTCCCCATGCCAATTGCCCAAGGAAACTACATCCTCTGAGGCCCAACAAGCTCAGGAGGCCATCCCATCGAGTAGTGACGTCCCAGCTCGGAGCGTCTTGAGCCCGAAGCTTGGTCTCAAGAGCAAAGACGCGGTCTTCCTTGAAGAGGTTACTCGGTGGGCCGAGCTACCGGCTGCTCAGCTCGGAGGAAGAGCGACGACACACTGCATGGTGGTATGTAACCAACTTTCAACCCTTCTGTACTTAGATTTTTTCTCAGTACTTATGTCTCGTTTCTCCTCTTGTCAGGTGAACTCTTCGATCCACGCCCTAGTATACCAGTTCGAGATGAACTTGAAGCGAGCTCTTGAAGTTGAGGAATCATCTCGCAAGGCTCACTCCGATCTGAACCTGGCTCGCAGCTAGAACAACAAATTATTGAGGGATGCACGAGCTCAGAAAGAATTATCGACCATTCTGATGGTAGAGGAGGAGCTGAAGGTGCGTGGGGCAACCCTTAAGAGAGAGATCCAGAACCTCGAGGAACTGGTGAAGGAGAGAACTGACATCCTGCTTCGCTCGATGGAGGAAGTGAAGATTAAGGCCATCGAGGAGTACAAGTATTCGGCGGAACAACGTGAATTGCTTTTCGAGACCGGGACAGCAGGCTACTGCAAAGGCTTCAAACTCAGTAGTTTATTGACCCGACGTGAGTTTCCTCACCTCGACCTCAGTGCCATCACAACATCAAAGATCACTGAGGAGATGGTGCTCGAGGTAGCTAAGGACCCCGACTCCGAGGAGGAGAGTGACGACCTCTTCGACGATGAGACTGTGGAGGGGGATGAGGGAGGTGATACCATTGACACCGCCAATGATCTCATGGAGACTAATCAGCCCACCGACGCCGCTACTAGGAAGTGGGGACGAAGAGCCCCGAGATGATTGATACCTCTTACCTCTTTTCTTGGACCCACCGTACATAGTGTATGTTCCGAGCCTCCAAGCTCGGTTGTAGTTGTTCTTCTCTCTTTTTTTTTGCCATGTACTCAGAACTTTTTGTTAATGAAACATAATGATTCACATAACCTTTTGTGTGTAAAAAAAATTTCTAAGTGTTGGTTATCTCGAAGTGTCAAGCTAACGAGATGGACTCCAAGCAGGAATAACCTAGTATTGCTGTACGCCAAGGTGGATGGACACTGTAGGGTATGTACCCGACCTGTCCAAGCACAGGCTACTCACTTGCCCAAGCCGAAGAGGCAATTGAGACTTTCTGCGCCTATGTTGAGGAGGCGTTTAGGACTTATTTGCCCATGTCGAAGAGGCGACTTGGACTTGTCTACCTATGCTGAGGAGGTGTTAAGGACTTATCTGCCCATGCCGAAGAGGTGACTGGGACTTGTCTGTCTATGCCGAGGAGGCGATTAGGACTTATTTGCCCATACCGAAGAGGCGATTGGGACTTGTCTGCCTATGCCGAGGAGGTGATTAGAACTTGTCTGCCTATGCCGAAGAGGCGACTAGGACTTATTGTAGTGCCGAGATCTTTTGTCAGCTCGGCACCAAGGCCCTTAGGCTTCTGAGAGTGAATCAAAGTCCTCTCTCCAGCTTGTCATCTTTTTGTCCAGTTCGGTGGTCCCATGGTCTTAGAGGAATTTTACCTTGGAGTTGTCTGGGAGTGAATCAAAGTACCTTCTTAGGTTGTCAATGTTCCATGCTCGAGGTACCTGCTTCCCTTCCAAAGTCTCGAGCTCGTACGCGCCTTCCCCGAACACCCGCCTTACTCGGTATGGACCTTCCCATTTTGGTCTGAGCTTACCTGCATCGGTCTCAAGTACCATAACTTTCCAGACAACCAGGTTGCCGACACGGAACTGCTGCTTCTTGACCTGGGCATTATAGTACCGAGCTACTCTCTACTAGTAGGCTGCGGTCTGAATGTAGGCCAGGTCTCGCACCTCCTCTACCAGGTCCAGGTTGGTACAGAGTTTGTCGTCGTCAATTTTCTCATCATAGGCCTCAAATCGCAATGTGGGTACCTCGATCTTTGTAGGGATCACCGTCCCTGTGCCATATGTGAGGTTGAAGGGGGTCTCACCCATTGTGGTCTTGATAGTAGTTCGATAGGCCCAAAGGACACTGGGTAGTTCGTCCACCCACAATCTCTTTGCTCGAGCTAGGCGAGCTTTCAGTCTGCGAAGTATCGCCCTGTTAGTTACTTCTGCTTTTCTGTTCGCTCGGGGGTGTGCCACCGAGGTGAAGTTTTGCTGAATCCCCATCTCGACACACCGGTTTTGAAACTTAACATCTTCAATTGCTTCCCATTGTCGAATATTAGCACCCGAGGTAGTCCGAAGTGACATACTATGCTTTTACAGAAGAAACTCTATATGTTACGGGTCGTGATGGTTACCAGGGGTTCGACTTCCACCCACTTCGTAAAATAATCTACTGCTACAACCAAGAACCCCCTCTGCTCTGTTGCTGGTGGAAAAGGACCAATGATGTCAATTCCCCACTGCGCAAAAGGCCACGTAATGGTGAGGTATTTCAAATCAGCAGCAGGTTGGTGGTGGATATTGGCATGCCTCTGACATTTGCCGCACTTCTTGATAAGCTCAAGTGCATCTGCCTTCATTGTGGGCCAATAATAGCCTTGCCTTAATACTTTTGTGCGAGGGCTTTGCCCTTCAAGTGGCCACCGTACAAGCCTTCATGGGTGTTGGAAGTACATGCTCAACTTCTGAGGGTCGCAGGCAGCGCAAGTAGGGGAGCGTGAAGTATTTTCTGTACAACTGTCCATCTATGAGGATGTACTTGGATGACTGGTGCTCTACCCTTTGAGCCGCATTGCGTTCTACAGGTAGGGTCCCGTGGAGAAGATAACCGGCGAGCGGGTCAATCCAGCTCAGTTCCGCTTGCAACATGGGAGCAACCTCTTCTGCCCCCCCGAGAATCCTGGGTCGAGGTAAGTCCTCTATGTACACGGTTCACATAGTGTTGTTGCTCGTGCTCGCTAGGCGTGATAAGGCATCGGGCTCAGCATTCTCGGACCTCAGAATTTGCTTGATAAACCAGGAGATGAAGCTATGTAGGATCTCTTTGACTTTGGCCAGGTAAGATGCCATAGTTGGGTCGTGGGTTTCGTATTCACCAGTGATTTGGTTGACCACTAGTTGTGAATCGTTACATACGATGGGGTGCTTTGCTTTCATTTCCCTTGCTAAGGTAAGCTCGGTGATCAACGCTTCATACTCTGCCTCGTTGTTCGATGCCTCGAATCTGAACAGGAGAGCATACTCCAACTTCACATCGCTTGGGCTGTACAGTATCAGTCCTGCACTACTTCCCTATTGGTTGGAAGAGTTGTCAATGTGGAGGATCCAGGGCTCCTCGTCCTAGGTCGGTACCACTCTGACTGGGCCCGGTGCCGCACTGGTTGACGCCTCCGTCGTGTGAGCAAGCTCGGTCAATTCAGGGGTCACTGTGCCGAACATGCACTCTACTACGAAGTCTATCAAGATTTGAGCTTTGATTGTTGGTCATGACTCGTACCAGATATTGTATTCGCTCAGCTCGATGGACCACTTCGTTAATCTTCCTGACACCTCGGGGTTAAGCAGAATCTGCCTCAGGGGTTTGTTGGTGAGAACAACGATTGTGTGGGCCTGGAAGTATGGGTGAAGTTTTCGGGCTGTTATGACCAATGCGTACGCTAGTTTCTCAATCTCCAGATACGTAGTCTCTGCATCCTACAAAACTTTACTAACATAGTAGATGGGTCGTTGGACCCGATCTACTTTGATCAATTCCGAACTAACTACTTCATCTCTTGCGGAGAGGTATAGTTTTAACACGTCCCCTTCTTTAGGCAGAAAGCGGTACTTAAGTACCTTTTCAGCTCGTCAAAGGTGAGCTGGCACTCTTTGGTTCATTCGAAGTTCTTGCTCTTTTTTATAGCTTTAAAAAAGGGTAGGCATCGGTCAGTCGATTTAGACATGAAGCGGCTTAGGGCAGCTATCCTGCCAGTCAGCCTCTAGTTTTTTTTTTATTTTTCGGGGTGGTCTTATATCTAGGATCGCCTTTATTTTTTCTAGGTTAGCCTCGATGCCACGTCGGTTAACTATATAGCCTAGGAATTTACACGAAGTGACTCCGAAGACGCATTTATTCGGATTTAATTTCATATTATATCTTCTTAAAATTTGAAAAACATCATTTAAATCATTCAACAAGGAGTTTGAGAACTAGGTCTTCACGACCATGTCATCAACATAACATTCTACTTTATTGCCGACCAACGACTCAAAAACTTTATTTACAAGGCACTGGAATGTTGCCCCAGCATTTTTCAATCCAAAGGGCATGACCTTGTGACAATATAGCTTGAACTCAGTTATGAAAGCGGTATTGTCTTCATCAGCAGGATCCATCCTAATCTGGTTGTAACCGAAATAGGCATTCAGAAAACTCAGCAACTCGTGCCCTGAGGTCGAGCCCACTGGGCAGTCAATCTTGGGCAGCGGGAAGCAGTCTTTCGGGCAGGCTCTGTTCAGGTCGGTGTAGTCGACGCACATGCGCCACATGCCATTGGCCTTCTTCACCAAAACTGGGTTGGCCACCCAACTTGGGTAATGGACTTCCTTGATGAAGTCTGCCGCAAGGAGCTTCCCGACCTCCTCATCGACTACCCTCCAATGTTCCGGGGCGATGTTGCATTTCTTTTGTCTTATTGGCCTGACTAAAGGGTCGGCATTAAGCTTGTGAGTTATAATTTTTGGATCAATCCCGGGCATCTCTACCGCGAACCAAGCAAAAATATCTAATTTTTCAAGTAAAAGCTTACTAGTTGGGTTTGAAGTGGTTTGTTGATCGAGGCACCGATCTAAAGAGTTCTGGCTGGTTCGGTGGCCGAAATTGATATGTGGACCGTTTCTTCCTTTGGGGCAGCTTGCTCATCGGTATACTCCGCTGGTTGCTTGAGTTCAACGTCTTTTGCCATCTTTGCTTTTCCTTTCGAAGCGGCCACATAGCACTTGCGTGATTCGAGCTGGTCACCTCGCACGACTCCCACCCCGTAGTCGGTTGGGAACTTCATCGCTAAGTAGTAAGTGGACACTATCGCATGCAAAACGTGCGTGATAGGCTTACCTACTATTGCATTGTAGGGGGAGGGAGTCGTGACTACCAAGAACGTGTGCTCAAATCGTATAATGTTTGGCCATGTGCCTGCTTCCATGGGTACTGTGACTCGACCAAGAGGTCTGACCTCTTCGCCGCTGAACCCTATCAAGGGTGTATCTACTAGTTTCAGGTCGCTCTGCTGTAACTGTAAGTTGTTGAAGGTCTCCTTGAAGGGTATGTCTGCTGAATTGCCTGCGTCTACTAAGATGCGTTTCACCTCAAAGTCATTGATCCTTAGCTTCACTACTAAATAATCATCGTACGAGTATTGGATCCCACGCGCGTCGTCCTCTGCGAAGTAGATCGGTTCTTCGAGCCGAGGTCGCTTTGGCAGGTTTTCACCTTCGTTCTCCAATTCGCGAACCGAGGTCCTCCCAGCTGCTGATGTACATCCAACAATGATGGACCCACTGGTGATCATATTGATCACTCCGTGAACTAGCCTTTCCTTTGGCAACTGTCGAGGTGGCTGCTCATTCTGCCTGTTAGTCTCAGAGGCATTCCTCCTCTGGTTCCCCTGTCGGTCTGCTTGCCCCCTCTCTTCTCGTAGGATGTAATTCTTCAGGTACTCGCGACGGATAAGTTCCTCGATCTCATCGTGGAGATTCTTGCAATTTTCTATGTTGTGCCCATGATCTTGGTGGAAATGGCAGTAGACATTCGGGTTTCTTGTTGCCGGGTCTCCTCTTAGCCTGGGAGGCCATTTGACTAAGGAGGAATCCTTAAATAGCCAATAAGATCTCTCCTCGCTTAGCATTCAAAGGTGTATAGTTTGTTCTCTCCACAGGCGGGGTCCTGGAACGCCGACCTGACTTGTGCCCACGCGAAGGGGACCGACTTCTCGACTTGCTTCTTCCCCTGCTCGGGGACTTGCTCTTCTTTCTTTTCTGCCCACCATTGCTCGCCCCTTCATTATCTCTCTTCCTCTTTCCATCGGTGGATTGCTAATCTTTTGGTTGATCTCCTCATCGGTACCGATGAACTGGTCTGCCAACTTAAGGAACTTGGTGATATCTTTTGGTTTGTTGGCTACCACGTGCCACTTGAACTCTTTATGGGTGATTGCTTTCTTTGTCGCAGTGAGTTGCACTGCTAGATCGAGGTTCGGTATCTATAGGTAAGTATCGTTGAAGCGCTTTATGTAGCTTCTGATTGATTCTCCTTCCCTCTGAACCACGTTTAGAAGGCTTTCTTGCGACTTTGTGCATTTCTTGCTGGTAATGAAATGCACAGTGAACAAATCGGAAAACTGTGCCTAACTTTTGATGGAGCCCGGCGCGAGGTTCCGATACCAGGTTTGGACTACCCCCTGAACGTGGTGGAGAAAGCCACACACATGCAGGATTCGTCAGCCTCAGCTAGGTGCATCTGAGACTAGAAGAATCCATGTGATCATTGGGGTCAAATGACCCATCATACTTATCTAACGGGGGTACCTTGAAGTCTTTCGGCATCGGGGTTGCTAGGAGCTCGGGAGACAAAGGAGATGACTGGCAAAGCAAGGGAGGTGCAGTTTTCGTTGCCACCAAGCCCACTTCTTCCTTTTTCTTTAGCTTGCTCTGCTTGTTGGCTTGGCTTCGCTGGCAGTTTCTGGCCAAAGAGCGACGTGTCTTGCGGCGTCGCTGTTGCTGCTTCTTAACCGGCTCAACCTTGGTGCTGCTGACTTCGATCTAATCTAGTATCTCAACATCATTACGTACATTGTTGCGAGGTGGATCCTGGTTCCTCCTTACCGAGTTCTCCTTGTTGTGGAGTTCGCAATGGCTATCACGAGGCACCGAGGGGTCCTGCCTCGAGTTTGCCCCTCGAACTCCAGGCTAGTTGTTATCTCCTCGCGATCTGTTGTTTTCCTGTTGGGAGTGTTGTGCTGGATTGGCTCTATTGAGCTGACTATCCTCGGGCCTATTTCTAAAATTTCCTTGTGAGACTGGAGGAGTGTGCTGACCGTCTCTCCTCCCATGGGGTGAAGCCTGACCCCTGGAGGAACCGACACCTGTGAGGTCCCCTCACCCCGATGGGGGGATCGGTGGACAATCTGGCTAGTCCCAGGCCGATTCTGGTTCTGGCCCTGGCGCAACCCTGGGTGACAGGGTGGAATTGGTTGCTGGTTCGGCTGCAGTGGTGGGAACTACTGCTGATACTGCTAGTACAGGTAGTACTGTTGATATTGTTGGAACTGTTTGACCTGCTGCATTTGGATTTGTATCGTCCGGACGCACTGAACGAGGTCATGGAATTGGGAGTGTTCGATTCTAGGGGGGACCACGAATGGCTCATAGAAAGTTATGCCCACTAGGGGAATCGGGATGCTCACTTGCATAGTACCCTACGGTACGAACAGTGACAGAACCCCTGAAATTATAAGGGGAATAGTAAACTAACCGATGCATACTGTAGGACCTTGGGGGAAGGTTGATTGCTGATCTTTCCCCCCGGTGACGTTCATCTTGATGCTTTTCCCGGTGTTGCTGGAAGAATCCATTGAGATAAATCGAAAGCTAGAACTACAATTGAAATTGGGATGACCTTTTGATTGGTTCCCATCGACGACGCCAATTGATGGTGCGCAATCTGGATACTCCTAGTTGGAAGATGATTTGAACATCAGTCATGTGGGGGGCTGGACTAAGCTACAAGATAATAGATCAGAGAACCCAGGGTGGCTAACTCGACGAGGTCGCTTCGATGCTTAAATCAGTACTATATTATGGATACGAGATGAATACTTGAATGCTAGAGTGCTAGTGAGCAAATAATCGTGCGTACCTTCGCTTTAAGGATTGATGCCCTTATATAGTTAAGTAGTCGTGAATCTTACGAAAAGGCTCTGGAATCTCCGGGCTGCATAGATAAGATCCGTTTCGTTTTCGAAGGAGAGCATGTGCCAGTTGATAAGGTTTATCACTTCCCTCCAATTTGGGTGGAGTGGGGATGAGCCTTGTTAATAAACGCCGTGATCCCGAGGAATCCGGAGTCTGTTGGAGAAGCTTCTGGAGTCAATTATGTGGCGCTTCGATTCTTTGGCCCCGAACTTTCACCTCGGTTCTTTGGCTCCGAACTTGCATTTCGGTTCTTTGGCTCCGAACTTGCATTTCGGTTCTTTGGCTCCAAATTGGATTAGGTACCGAGATGCCTTTATGGCGAGTTACTCAAGATCCTGAGCTCCCAAGCTGTTAGGGAGGCTCCCTTGCTAAGTTGTCATCCTAGTGGCTGATCGCATCCACGTGTACCTCTCGGTTGCTAGGTCGGGCCAACTTAACCCTCATCACACCCAATATACGTTATTGTAAATTGGCAACTAATTTTATTGAATAATAACTAATGATATTTTTTTTCTGGGTGGATTACCTCTTTTTTCAGTAAATATCAAAATTTTTTCTAGGTGGAAAACCTCTTTCTTTTCAAGAAATATCAATAATTAGTTGGCAACTAATTATTTTTCATTAATTATTGAAACTCTCAGTGAAAATTAGTAATTATTTTCAACAATTATTGTAAATTTATTGAAAATAATATTTTTTATTAGTGACAATTATTTCTAGAAAATAAATTTCAATAATTATCATTAATTTCATTTTCTACAGTAGTTATAATAATTCATTTTACCAGAATTAATGTTTTGAAAATTAATTTTAGATAGTTCTTCTAACAAAAAGTTTAATTAATTATTTTTTGGTAATTTGTTTTTGTAATTTAATTTTCAAGAAATTAATTAATTACTCATAAATGTATAGTTAATTTGGATTGTTTGCATAATTAATCTTTTGGGTTATTGGGCCGGGCTTTTGACATGATACCTGGTTTCATAATTTGTCAAAAATAGCGGAAAATACTATTATTTATTTTTAAAACAATATTAGATCCGAATATTACCAATTAGTAATTATTGTTTTTAAAAATAATAATTTACTAATTGTTTTTTAAGCCTTCCCTGTACTTTGACCTCTGAAGAAAATTAAATAAAAAAATTACCCTGACATATTTTAGATAACCAATTTGTTAATTTAACCAACTTTCTGATTTTCCTCGTACATTACACGGGTCCCTACTAGTATATAATAAATACTAAGTGAAAGACATGTCGTTCATGCCTAGCACGGGGCATTGTCATTGGTTTCACAATCTGTGACACAACACACAATCATTGCGTTTAGCTAATCTACTCTTTGGAATTGGAATTTGAGGCTCTAGGTGGTATGGCCAATAATGGGCCTCGCTTGCATCCTGCTTTGTCCCCCAACCCTATAAAATGTGTGCAGATGCTAGCATTTTTGGCTTTGGTTTAAAACCTAAACTCATTAGGGATTGCAATTTTTTCCTGTCCCCACTGGGTATTAGGGAAATCAAACTCATTAGGCTGCGTTTGGAAATGATGCAAATATGTGTGAATACAAATATGTAGAGTGTAAAACGGTTCATATAAATTGCAAAGTTGGGTTCATTTTTTCATTGACAAATTTACATTCTTACTAAACATACTTTTAGCTGTAATGGATGCAAATGCAAATTCCAATAAAGTATATGATTTTTTTTTTATTAAAAGCACACTTGAATGCAAATTTACTTCTTTTTTGTTGATATATTTTTACATCTTATTATCAATGTAAATTTGCATTGATCTGTCATTTATCAATGCAAAAATGTAATATTACCAAACGCAGAAAAAAATGAACCAGAGTACAAATTTACCCTGAACCGAGATTTACACTCTATTTGCATCGTTTCCAAACACAGTCTTAGGGATTGCAATTTTTCCTGTCCCCCATTGGGTATTAGGGCTCCCCAACCGGATTGGGTTGGATATGAAAATTGCTTTATACATGTTGGATTATTATTGGGTTGTGTATAAAAACTGCTTTATGGTTGGAACTTTATCATGTAAAAAATAATGGCATGCAAATCAACTTAAATATTTGGGGTTATTATCCAGCATGATGCTTTTGGCTCAAGCCCCCCAAAAAGTGTGGTGGGTGTTATTTGAGTTACATTTATATTCCATTAAATTCAAATAGATGTTAATCAAGTGCTAAATCAACTTATATATGGGCTCCTATGCCCTTCAAGCCCAAAGTAAGATTTTAATTAAGAAAAAAAAAAGGAATTTGAGTATCTCATAGATCAGGGATGAAGCTCATTTTTCTCCTTGATAAGAATTGGGGACAGGGAAGGGAGTTACTTTGAAATTGGGTTGGGGATGAAAAGTATATTCCTTGCCCTGAATCCGCGCCCCATTGCCATTCTTAAAACTCACATAAATTACCTCTATAAATTGAATGGCTCAATTTTTGAAATAGGCTTAATTGAATGCAATAGGCTGTGGAGCCAATGCTAATGGCCCACATTAGTCATAAAATACATAATAGGGGTTACAAACATTCAACCTTTTACTATGGGCCTTACAATATGACAAGAATGTTTGGCTGTACCATAGTAGGGTCTAAAAATATAAAATTGATCACCTGGAGTTCAGGAACTGAAAACATAAGGCTGCGTTTGGAAATGATGCAAATAGAGTGTAAATCCTGGTTTAGGGTAAATCTGCACTCTGGCTTATTTTTGCTTGTATTTGGTAACATTGCATTTATGTATTGACAAATGACAGAAAATAATTTTCTAATGCATATTTATATGGATAATGAAATGTAAAAGTACATCAATAAAGAATAAGTAAATTTGTATTCAAGTGGACTTTTGATAAAAAAAGGCTTATACTTTATTAGAATTCGTGTTTGTATTCATTACAGCTAAAATTCTGTTTGGTAAGTGGATAAATTTGTTAGTGCAAAACTAACCCAACTTTACAATTTATATGAACCTTTTTACACTCTACATATTTGCATCACACTTATAACAAATCCTAATTAAGGAGCAAAACGTATGCAAATCGCAATAGGAATATTTAAAAAATTTTAACCTGGAATTTTTTTTCACATATCAAATAAAAAACAATAGAAAATAAATTTTACCTGAAGGAAAAACCCAATGACAAGCAGTTGATTGCTAAACCCTAGCTTCCTATATCTCTCAACAGTCCGGGCAAGATGGTATGACTGTCACACTAATGTTTTTGCAATGCCAATTGATTCTTTGATGTGAAGGATGAATATACAACTGATTTGCACACCTCTCAAGGTGTCTAACATCCCAATAAAGGCTGGTTTACAACTAGTTTGATGCTTGAACAATCAATAATTGAATGTGCTTATTAGTGGGGTTTTTCTTGGCAACTACTTTGCTAATACTAATCAATGGTTGGGGAAAATGGTTAGAGCAATAGGGTTGAACATCCACGACCTTTTTTTTTTTGTTTAGGATTTAAGAAATCCTAGAATAATCCCTATTGAATTGGAAAAAATCATGCACAAAGTTTCCTAACCAAACTCTCCTACTAGTTAGCTATCATAAGTTTTAGTCTAAGTAGACCTTTGACTCGCACCAAACCAGCCCCAAGAGCATTTTTCCAACTCGGAATAATGAGGGAGAACAAACTTGTATGGTGTGAAACCCATAGTAGTCTACTTAGAACCAAAATGAAGAACCCCACATAATAGAAAAAAATAAAAATCCTAAATGAAGTGGAACCCACATAAATTCCTAAATGAGGGAGAAATGCCTACTATTGGGCCCAATGTGTCTTGCACTTTATGTCTAGGATTTGCCACCCTCAAAGCCCATACCCGTTGGTCCTAAGTGAAAGGTGTCTATCACGTAAATGGGTCTAACAAACACTTGCAATATAATCCCTCTTCCATTAAGGCCCAACACTAAAATAAGGGAAGAACTTAGTCCCTACTCGTAGAAGAACCAATGTCATGCTTCCTACTCAGATGAATCTTAGAAGATCTTTGATTTTAAATTAGTTTATTGCCAGTAAACTTGGGTATTCATTAGAGGAAACATTCCCTGAACATTCACTGTCTGATAGAGTGGCGGAATAGTTCTATCACAATAATCACCCACCATAATTCATCAATAATTGCTCCAACGTATTGGCTCTGAGTAATTAATTTGGTTCATTGGTTTTTCAGTTTTTTTATATTTATAGTATATATTATAAATATATATAATAAAAAACTAAATATATATATATATATATACCGATCGAACCGACCGATTCAATTAACCAGATTTTTTTTTCTTATTCACCTCTCTAATAGTACCCATTATTATGTGCACAATCTAGAAATTCCACCAATCACAAAGTATAAGAATCTTTTTGAAGTGTTTCGATTCAGCATTTAAATTACATACCCATTGAGGATTGACACATAGAATAAACGTATAATAAACTTATTTTATTCAATATAATAAATGCAGTTTACATGAATATTGGACTCAAAGAACATACATTGTCCAACATGAACCGCTACACTTTTTTCCTCAGAATTAGGTACATACAGTAGCAATCAATGCGTGACAATTATCAGGTTTCAATTCCCCAACAACAATTTATCCTTCGCTAGGGACCCGTTTATGGTTAGATTTATCTCTGACTCTGACCTACAATTACAAGGATCTGATCAGCATAACTCTACTTCCGGTACCCGCCGGTGATAATTAAATAACGTTTCAGAATCCATACCAAGTTACCATTTTTTTTTAATTATTTCTCACGCCCAAGCTTTTATTTACATTTTAGAATATCAAAATTAAGTAGGTAACATGGGCATCTTCATTCAGCTATGATTCTTCATTCCTGAACTTGGCCATTTTGGCAAGCTCGTCCACAGCTTCAACCAAGTGATCAAGCCTAGCCACAAACTCTACAAGCAATGAAGTGAAGGTAGCGAGTGACAGGGCTGTGGTGCTCTCTAGTGCCCTCATCCTCGGGAGGTCTTCGCCGTTCGTACCTTCTTCGTACGAATCCACCTCTCTTGAAGGCCATGAGTAAAGCCTCCTCTGCTGCTTCTTCATTGTCTCGTGATAGGATTCAGCCTGCAGACCAGCTGCAGCTGGAAGGAGAGTCTCAGAGGGTGCTTTCTGGAGCGTGGGATTCAGGGGCGGCTCGGGGCGATTGCTACCTGCTGGCTCTGCTGCTAATTGGCCGGAGAAGTCAGAGGCGGAAGAAGATAAAGTGTTCGACGGTACGACTCTGCAGGGGAATGACTTGGAAGAGTAGTCAAGCAGATCATGGCTCGATGTGAGGAGGTAGGAATGCATGTCTATGGCACGTTGGAGGCGTTCAGTCGAGCTTTGAACCCTCTTCAGTAACGAGGTTCGAAGACTTCGTTTCATGTTGCTTATGTCGTTGCCCAAGCTCCTTATTAGCTCTGCTGCTTGGCTGCTGGCCTCCTGGATCTCCGGTTGAAAGGTAATGCGAAGGTTATAGGGTGCCTGAAAACGAAACAAATTAAATACTCGTAAACCAGTTTCGTGAGTTTAATTATATATACACATCATTGTTTCTATCGGGGAGAAGAAGAAGACCTGAATCTCAGAGTGTAGGACACCATGAAGCGCCATGACCTCGTAGGCGCAATATCGGAGTACGGCCCCGACTTTCACATATTCCGACCATGGGTAGAAGAAATGCCTGAACCTGCCATGGGGCGGCTCCCATTTCGCCGAATTTGCCTACAATCATATATTAACATATATCGATCGATCCCAACATCTTCAGGCAATCAAAATGATCAAAATCAATGCTTACAAAAGAGAAAAAAGGGTTACCAGATTATCGAGTTTCGCCGATGAATCCATTGTCTCTCGGCATTTTCGGTACGCCGGCTCGTCAGAAAATTCGTCCATGACGTTCTTTGCGAAGTCTGGGCGATCAGACCCATCATCTTGTAAATATTTTCTTACACACTCTGCAGGGATTCACGCAGATAACAAATGTTTAGGGCATGCATTAAGTAATGAAGTTGTTTGAATACAAACATATATAGTAAGGAAGAAATTGACGGGGGCCGGGATGGATTATAGGCTACCTTCAAGAGAGTCCGCCACTGAATTGAAGCTGTTGACAAGCTCCTTGTGGAGTTGCTCCCCTGCCCATATAGGGAAAATGAAGACGTTTACTAGAACTGCCACAAACCCTCCAATGGCAATCGAGTATAACCGATCCATGGCAGTTCTGATCGGGTTTCCCATCCGATAACCAGACATTATTATTAAACAGAAGGTTAAGAGTGTAACCCTGAAGCCATATTCGTATGGGACCAGGGACGGCCATAACTTCATGAATGAGGTAATAGCACCTGCATGCCAAAGTAAGGATCAATCACAGAGATCTAGAGAGATCTAGAGAGAGAGAAAGAGAGTTCAAGTGTTCAACGCAGTATATATACGTACCTATAAAGAAGATGCTGAAGCCTATGATTATAGGTTCAGCAACATGACCGGTGCACAAAGCAACTTCGGCAACGGCAATCGCAAAGATTCCGGCAAGTAAGCTTCCAATTGCTCGGTTGAATCCTCGGTTAAACGTGGCTCCTTGAGGGATTTGTGACAATGACAAGAGTTAGGGGAATGTATTCCTAGATTCTCCCTATGCAAACAGTGGATACATGCATGCATGATATATAGTCATACTTCATACCTACGTATGTATATGCATCAATCATATCATGCCATGCATGCAATACATGAATGTACATACATGCATACATATATATATATAGATATGAACCGGTCATATATACATACATTTATACATACATACCAACTGTATATTCGAACATGATGGCGACAGTGAGGATAGCCCAGATGATGTTGGTGCCTCCGAAAACATGATAAGTTGCCCGGAAAAGTATTAGCAGCGACACAAGGAGAACTGCAAGTCCCACCTTCAGTGAGAATGTTACTCTATTGCTATCTTCTTTTGCGAAGTTCCACACATTCCGAATCCATTCTCTAACGGAGAAGCAGCCTCTGTTACCCGATTTCTTTTTTGTCATTTCGGGTTGTTTCACTTTGCTGGATGCCGGAGGAATGTCGATCTCGATGCTACCCTTTTGGCCTGATTTTATCATCCTCGATGCTTCTGGCGTTGCTCCGGCCACCGCCGGTGCTAGAGCCAGAAATGAGGAGATGAACTCAAGACTCAAGAGTGGTAGCTGCTAGTTAGCTCTCTGCTACATGTAGATATGGGTAGTGAAGAGATTGTGTGTGTCGGGGAGTGTGATTTAAAGAGCGAGTTTGGCTATGGCCATGTCAATAATGCATCTAGTGGGAGAGAGCGTGTGTAGATCCGATATGATTATCATAAAAGAAGAAGAAGAAGAATAGTACCAACAATGGAAAATAATAGAAGAAAAGATTGACTGAAAAACTTGGGCACAAGAGATGCTTAACCTCAATAATTGTTTCATGGATGGATAGAGAATTAGAATCAAAACACCTCATCACTCATGGCGGATCAATTTTGTATTTCCACATTTTTTTTTCTTTATAATAATAATAATAACTCAGGCTTCTCGAGAAAAATCCATCATATATCAACGACTTGGTGGAGAGTATTTTTTGTATGATGCTCTGTGGGTTGGCTACGTATATTTTGTGTCATGAAATCTACCTCAAACCGATCTATTCTATATTCTCTACCATCATCCGCAAACTTTTACCCCCAATTGACGTTCATATGCGCCCCACAACGTCCCACAACACATATCGGCCATGTATTGGAAACATATTCCGATGATGACATCATCATTTTTAATACTATTATCGGGAGATGTTCTCAATACATGGCGGGATGTGTTTTGTTGGACGTTGTGGGGCAGATCTGAATTGGAGCTGGTCATAACATGTGGAGGAGCCCTTGCTGCCCCGCCAACATGGTAAGATTAGGGTTGCAACTTAGGAGGGGTTTATACAAAAAAAAGGTCAGATATTGGGTTGGATTGGGTTAGGATTGACTTTTGTCAACCTGATTTACGTGAGCATAATTCAGTCTAGGGTTAGAATTTGTAAGCCCAAAGTACATTTTGGATAGGTGCCAGATCGGAATTGATGTCAATTCATGGCGAGTATGGGTTTTTGACCTTTTGAATGTTTATAGTTTTGCAGTGGAAATCAGAAATCTGCATTGGACTTGTCCATATTTTTCGTTGACTTAAAGGTTGCCCTAACCCTACTCAACCATTATTAATATACATATGTATCATATTCCTAGAGGTATAAAGTGGGCCGGGCCATGCCGGCCCGCACTTGTGCGGGCTGTGCCATGCTGGCCCGCGGGCCGTGCCACCCTCTCCAATGAAAATTTTGGGGGTCGGCCCAGGCTCGTGCCGGCCCGTGTCATGCCACAGGCCTGGTTGGTCCATGGGCCGAGCCTTGGGCCAGGTTGGGCCGTGCATCGGGCCAAAACTATTTATTTAAGAAAGTTAACAAAAAACTTAAAATTTTAATTTTATATGAATTGTGTGTATAAAATTGCTTATATATACAATTATTAAATAAATTAGTATAATAAAATAAAAAATATTATTTTATTAATATATTATATACTATATATATTATTATATAATTATAATTTATATAAAATATATAAATAATATATATGGGCCGTGTTGGGCTGTGCCGGCCCACGGGCCACGGGTGGCATGGCTTGCTTAGTTGTACCGTGTCGTACCAGCCCGTGGACCTAAAACCCCAAGCCCAGCACGGCCTGCACGATCGTATTGGGCCTAGCACAACCTGTGGACCGTCAGTCGGATTTACACCTCTATATATTCCTGCCATACACTATCAAGATTCATTTATCTTGACTAATAAATATATATATGCTTATATGGCCATTGATTTATTGGTATTGATTTTTCATTTATTTGAAGAAAGTGTTTTTTTTTTAATTTTCTTATAATAAGTGATTTTAATTCTATAATTTTATGTTTTATTATTGCTGATGTCATGGTATTGCATTTTTAATAGGAAATCTACCATTACTTATATATACTCTAATCATTTGAAGGATTCAACTATGATACGGAAAAGATATTATATCCGAAAAACTTGTAATCAATTATTGTGGTATTTATTAAAATTCATGAATAGCTCTTCTAGTACCATGTTTTTTTGGTATTATAGATTTTCACTCATTTGAAACAGTCCTTTTTTCTCAGTTATATATTAAGTAAAATAACCAATAAAAACATCAAACAAGTCCATATAATAAAAAATATGTTCAATATATAGACATGAACAAGATAGGAGATGGTCAAGGGATTTTAGGTTGGGTTAGGGTTGGCCAAACCCGGCTCAACTTGCACCCTATCTAAGATCTATGGCTTGGCCTATTAACTAATGCCACAACGCTAACTAATTTGGTTACAGTTCTGCTTGAAGAATCACTGGAGAATGGGTTATGATTCAAACTAAAATGATTCCTTTTGAAGCTAAATTTCGTAGCTTCAAAGAATCAAATCTTAAAATGAATAATGAGCCCAACCAATTTTCAAAAATTCAAACTTAGAAGTAATTCTTAGAATAATTAATCACAATATCCATTGGAATCAATTCTCTGGAAGCATCACAAACACAGCCTTAGCGGCTCCTCCAAGTGAAGGATATATATAGATTCACGTATACGCACCTTGTAGGAAGTAAATTCGTCTCAGCCCCTCAATTGTTGTTTCTTGAAAAGGTTTCTGATGGAAACCTAACAAAGGAAATTAATAACTTCATGCAGATCGTGTACTACTTGACCCGATTACTAGATAACACCATAACTAAACCAAAGGCAGCTTAATTGATGAGATGATGATTCATTTGTTACGTGCAACTCAAATTACAATGCAAATCAGACGGTCAAGATCAATGGCCCACCACCCGCTACTTAACTGTCCTAAATTCTTTCTGTTTTCTTCCCCAAAAGAAGAAAAAGAGAGGAATATCTAAGAACTGCATAAGAGTTAAAACTAGTGGTTGAGACTGAGTAGCTGCATCGACCGGTTGTATGAAAGAATAACTTCTAACCGAATAATGGAATGCTTTAACAAGACAACAAATTCTAAATAAAAAAACATATCAAGATCAAAACTTGTGTTATAAATGAGCATCTGGTTCTACAGAAGCCTCTTCTCACTTTGAAGCAAGCATTAAGTACTTCTCTTCTTCACCTGGGAATATATTATTTATCCTACTAGGACTGATATGTCTCTTACCTTGCATCCGTTTGTCAGAGATACACAACTTGCAGCTAGCAATTAACACTACTGGATTTTGATTCTATCCAATAAGTCACCCTAAAAATTTCTCTTGTGGCAACCTCCTTCCATTATTACCTCACCTATATATATTCTTTAACTGAGTTTAGCTACTAGCACTAGTGTTCCTTCAGAAATATTCCCGGAAAGTCAAAATCTTCATTCCAATTTATTTTATATATTGATACATCTCATCAAAAATATTACCAGAAAAAGTGGTGGTGGAGGTGTAATTAGAAAGGTTGATGGTCGTTCGTTTGCTTTTCCAAATTCCTATGGCTATGCTACCTCTCTTCAAGCTGAATTCCTTGCTCTGTTGGTTGGTCTTCGGCTTTGCCACAATAATGGTATTTAATCAATTGAGGTGGAGAGTGACAATTCAAGTCTAGTTGATGTAATGAATGACAATAAAACATTCCCCCCCTGGTCGATTTTTTACACATTGAAGACAATTGAAACAATGCTTAATAGCATGGATACTGTTTTTATGCACACTCTTGCCAATAAAGGTATTGAGGATAACAGATTGGTCATATTAGCTAGATGCCATCTCTCACCTTCCTCAACCTCTCATTACTCTTTGTTGAGGAGGATTAATATATCAATGTTCCCATATTGTTTTTAGATTTTTGGGCTGAATTTGTGAAGGGGAGGGTTTGCAATTCTCTTGGTTTTGAGGCAAGACGGGCTATGTCCTCCTCTGTTATCTTCTTATTTAGTCTTTGATGATAATGGTTAATAAAATTTAAGATGGCCGCCCCACCACCTGAAATATATTTTGGGGTTTAAAAAAAAAATACCATGCATCCTTGAGTTAATAATCAAGTGGGAGCAGATGGGCCTTAAAGTATTGATATCTGTTTCTAACTTTCTATCATCACCACTTTTAGAAACATGAGAAAGCTAAGATGGAGGAGATTTATTATTACATGTGATGTGGGTGAATATATTCTGGTTCTGGCGATCGATAAAGAAGTTGTTTTTACGACTGCTGGCGAAGATAAAGGAAGCTCTTTGGCCTCTTGTAGTGCATGTACTCTCCCAAGCGCTCAGCTCATCAGCTTGCGATAACATTATTCCCATCTCGTGTTAGGACTATTGGGAGAGGAACTTATCACAAGATACTATATGTGTGATGATGAGCCATGCACAGTGCCTCCACTAGGACAACGTCTTTGCTCTGGTCAAGTCTCTCGGGTGGGTCAGCGGAGCATCCAGCAGAAAAACCCAACACCCCAACCCAATATGTGATAGCAGCCATGATCGATGGCGATGTGCACTTTGGAAACAAGAGTTTCCCCAAAGGATGGGCTACGATCTATTGAGGGGAGAATAAATTAAACATGCTGAACGTGTCAAAATGTATATATGCTATTCTCCTACAACCAGATGTGTAACCAGCAGCAATGACTTTTACCAACTAATTACATACTGGATGCATGAGCCGTACAGGGAGAAGGATGGTGATCATGCTTGGTTCCAATTTCTTTTCAACATTAATAGATGATCCACACTCCACAGAGAAAGCTGCTCCGAACCCATTAATTAAAGCTCTTCCGATCCCTCAAGAATGCATGGGTTGAGGGTGCATATATCTCAGAATTCCAAAAGGGCTAAAAACATGCATGAGACAGATAAGATCGTGGTTGTAGACAAACTGGCGAGTCCGATCGGGAGCAATGGTGGATTCCCAGCAAATCCATTGGATGTTCGACCTTCGACGTAACATGAAAGACACAAAAAAGAAAAAAGCAAAGCAGTTCTCTCTAGCTGCTAACTGCCTCTACTTTATAATAGACAATGATTGATGCATTTTAAGTGGGCCAAGCCACAAAATCAAATTCTTCATTTGGAGATGATGATGACCCAACAATCCTTGAACTTGAATGGTGGTAGCTAGTTTCTGTGCCCCTTTTCCCTAAACCCTCCAAACAAAAAGAAAGTGCGTAGAATTGCACAGGTTCCATATGTTACAGAGTTTAGAGAGGAATATGAACAAGCATATATTAGTACGTACGGGACACAGGGTTTTTCAAGCTTGAGAGTTGAGACAACCTAGGCTTCTTAAAATATGATGCCCATGGCCGTCTACCTGATCAGGACAAATTCGGAAGATGTATTTCACAAGGGACCCTACAAAAGAATTCGGATGATCAGGCTTACTCGTACAGCATCAGGCATGTAGGCGCCGAGCAACTAATCTCAGCAGTAGGCCGGCAGCCTGAATGTCTCACTCCAAATTCAGTCTGCATGTCCCTTTGGATCGATGACCAAACACACTGAACCGTCCATAAAGGCATAAACTATATCAGAAGTTAATTATGGATGGTAGTTTACATACGAACACGGTTGACACCAGAGACAAGTGAGAAATCTCGAGGGTTCTCAACTCCGGTACGTTTTCCCTTTATTGGGGGTCATCTCAATCTCATCAATTATTTAAGACACCAAAGAATGGGAAAAGAATGTATTTAAATAAATAATGAAAACTTGGAAGAAGAAATGAGAAATAAATTTACATCGTTAATGTTTCATCAGCCGAGCTTCAATGACCAGAAGGATGCAATTGTTACAAACAAAACCCTCAGATACAAAATACACACATATGCATCCTTTCCGATAAAAAATAAAAAATACAGAAACACCTATAAAAGAAAAAGAAAAAGAAACCAACTAAACTTGAACACGATCATCCTATTGGCTATTGCTGAGCAGTTGAGGAAATGGTTGTTGAGTTTCCATATCCGGTCTCCTCTGGCGGTGGCTTCACATATTTCCCTATTACCTTCTGACGGACACGCATCCTCATCCTATGCATCTTATCCCTACTCTGTTGCTTCCTCTTCTCCTTTTCCCTGTGTCTTAAATTTCGCTCCCTCTCGTACACCCCTTGCCAGAAGACCTCACCAGTTGATGGCCACAGCCACCGTTGAGTGGGATGATCAGAATCTGCCTCCTCAGCCAAGTCCTCATCCATGCTTTTTAGGGTGGTGTATGAGAACCATCTGACCCACATGTGACCTCTCCTGCTCTTCAGCTTGTGTTGTTCTTGCATAGCACCAGTCTCAGGGTTCATATATACCATTCGCCTAGCACTGTGGTATGCCCAGACATTCACAAGTAGCTCAAGCACACGAGAGTAGCAATGCCGATCCTGCAATATCCAGTATCATTACCATAATCTAAAGAGGGAGAGTTGAAAAGCAACAATGGGACATTGCTGGGAGGCTACTTTTGAAGACCTAAACAAACAATTCTAACTCCACTTCAAAACCCAGTCAGTATCCTACTTTTGAAGACTGCACTTGGCATTGCAGTATTGCCATCAATAAGCAAATACTTCAATTTCTAATGTTAGGTTTAGCTCATGTGCGCATCTATATCAACAGCAGAACTGAGCCGTTTTGCCAGTTAATAAAAGCTATTGTACGTTATTAATTTAGAACTACATTTTGCATATCAAAGTTTTAAACCCCACGTTATTAATTTAGAACCACATTGAAAAGGTTCCCACTCGGTAGAAAAGAAACCTGTCAAACGGTACAATGTTCCAGATGTGTGGTACATGATACATTTAAGTCATACAAAAAAGACATTATATCCTTGGCATTCTCAGAAAGTTTTTGCAAGTAAAGCCAATGAACTGCAGCTAACCTTTGATAGACTCAGATAGCAGCGCCCACTTTGATGGTGCTCATTGTACATCTCTGTATCCAATGCATCAACAAACATTCTGCAAAGAGGGATAGAATCTCAATTAATGGTGTCAGAGAAAGACAAAAAAATCCCAAGACAGATGAGACCATGTGAAAGACTAGAACCATAATTTGTAATCTTATAACCTTGAAAACATGGCGAACTCAACAAAAGAACGAGTTGGCAACACCCAGCTGTGCATGACAGACCATGTATCCCCATCCACTGGCATTGGTGGCAAGGAATCCCAATCAGGCCTTATACCATACATATGCCGTAGAGCCTCAGAAACTGCATACCTTCAAATGACCAAGGCAGGGAAAGAATAAAATATTTAGAAATCGAGCAGGGAATAAAGCAATGTTATTCTCAATTCAATCCCCACACATTCTTAAAAATACATAAATGTGAACTTTGGATGTTTGTGTCACGTCTACTGTATGCCCAAGGAGCTTTGTAATATTTAAGAAAGATGAGATTCTGTGAGAATGGTTAAATAGAGTGAAAAATAACAATGCAGGAGTTCCTACCTGCAATTTCCAGCATTTATAGCATCACAAAAAGACCAAAAATCCTGTTGCAACTTGTTTCTTGGATCTTTGTCCATACGAACCCAAAAGTAGAGAGTATCACCATGCCTCTGTGACTGGATGGCATTCAGCAATGCATTTTCCGCAATCTTGGACAAAGAAGCCTGTTTGAGTTGAAGTTCAATGTCAGAAACAGAAAAATAGAAATACTCTAGAAAGACTGTTCTTTCATACTCATCAAAAACTGCATTTTCATTATACTCAAAATTCTATTCCAATCTAGTAGAATTGGAAGGCCACAAACTCTTTTTTCTTTTTTGACAGAGAAAAGGTCACAAACTCTAAGTTTAACCATTATCTTTGAACATCTAGATATTCCAGATTAATTAGTAAATATTAAATAATGGTTCAAATGTAACAAGGTGCAGATGAGGTGCACCATATATTGGTGTTTTACAGTTGGACTCGATCACAATAGACAAGCTATAGATGAATTAACAATATTAAATACTGGTTTAATTGAAAAAGGTTTATAGAAGATTTCTTCCATCAATAAAAGCGTTTTATTGAAGTTCAAAAGCAGAGAAAGTACAAAGCAAATAAGCCTGCTCAGGATGGCATAGCAAAAGAAATAAGTACTAAAAGGGTGTAAGTGAGATAATACAATACCATTATTGCTGTTTCTTCTCGTTTCTTATTTCCCCTTTTTTGGAGATCAGTAACAGAGTTTTTAGTAAAGCATGATAGAAGAGAGAGGTGTACATATCCTGATATCCAAATAAATGTGTACAATTAAAACCACTTTCTCTTTCTAGCAGGACATGTTACACCCTGCCACCTTCTAAGTGTTCTCTCATGTTTACTCATTTTTTTGATTGGTTTCCATGTTTACTGAATTCCCACATGCACTTCCAATAACAAGACCAGATATACAAGCATCAAGAAGATTCTTGTGTAGGTGGGCATGCCGGTTTTTATCACACTAGAATGCATTTTTAAAGATAAGCAAGCTCTTAAAGATCACAACCTCCTAGGTTTGAGGGGGCTATTATGTCAATATTAAATAATGTTTCATTAAAATAAGAACTGAAAAATGATGTTTTACCAAGCCATCCGGAATAGCTTCAATTAAGACATATTTATATAGATTCATTTAGTATAATTAGATTACGATGCTATAGTAATCACTTGCAGACCCTTACTAGAATTACAATTTCACTTAACTATACCCAATAAATTGACTACTCTGAACTCAGTAGGTTCCTTTCAACAACTTGACTGCATCTAGTTTCCAGTGGCTGTTCCAACTTTACTCAAAATTCCAGGTAATAAATTATTCTTTCTTCTGTATGTTACATGTATGTGTGAAGTGCTTACTATAAAAAAAGGTAATCAGCTTAAAACTTAACCAATTAGAAAAATAAAAACAAAAGATTTCAGATATAACATCAAATATTGAAGGATACCAGATGCAGAGCCAGAACATACCTTTCGTGCAGTTGCTCTCCATGACTGAAACCCTATCCAAGCATTCTTGTGTATACGATCAATCCTATTAGCCAGTGCAAAGAAGGCTCCATATTCACCAAGGACATCTCTGTAATAGGGATTGCTAAGAATAGGAAGACGAGAAGGTGCATCAACATCATCTGCTCCTGGTCTTCGGCCCTTTGTAGACTACATTGAACAACCCACATCAAAATAAAATTGGGAAAGAGATGCATGTTTCATTTATATGGCATCAATATCAAGGAGAAGAATAGGTATTAATAGTAATTTAAGATTTCCACACTATAATATAAGAATTATTTACATCAACAGCAAGCACATAACACCCATTATCTATATAATATGTAGTTAGTGAACGGTATTTATGGACCAAATAATACATATTTAGGCCAGTAGACTTTATGATCCAGAATCAAAAAAATGGTTGGGCCCGTATAATCTAGAACAATGACATAATTTCATATATTAAATTTGTATATTAATGCTAAACATGTTGGAATTCCATGCTAGTGACAACTTAATTCCAGTAATGGTAGAAGCAAATACTTTTATACAGAAGAATCCCTTGAAACAGGTATGTGGACTTCACCATGTCCATCAAATGTAAGTACATCAGATAAATTTGTTGTACAAAGTCAGAATCAAAATAATCAATGATGATTAGTCCCAGTTTACTAAGATGAAACACACTCATCATCCAGGCCTTATCCCAACTATATGGGGTGGTCCTACATGAATCCTGTTTCGCCAGTCCATTCTGTTTAATGTCATAACCATCGTTAAATTATTGGACAGATGACATACACTACACTCTAAAAACACAAACAAACTCCTCATGTGCATTTAAGTAAATAAAAAACAACATTCACACTCATCATAAAAGTCTACTCAGGAATAAGCTCCACACTGAGAATGTGAATAATAACTCAAAGATGAGCAAATAAGTTTGTGTCTCACCAGCCCGATTCCGCGATATAGAGAAGAGTGATGTAAAAATGGCCAAGTCCCTTCCCCAAAGTAAGGTTCATAAATGCACAATGGCTGGCCTGTCCTTTCAAGCTCCCTATCATCTCTTTCATGTAAATCATTCCTTGAACGATCAGCCCTTTTAGCATTTCGATAGACTTCTTCCCATGTTCCACGAGGTTGATCAGTTCTATCCTTCATCTGCATGAAGTTCCAAAAGGACAAGATTTTCACTAAGGAAAAACAAGTGCCGTAAAGGGTAACCTGAAATTGTTAAGATTACTTCAAAAGACATACATTGCACCATAACTTCTTACCTCTTCTTCTTCTCGTCTCCTTCTAGCATTTATCATTTCAATAGCTTTTTCTTCATTCCAATCTCTGTAGGAGAAAGCTTCATCTGCAGTGCTAGCACTGGAATTCTCCTTGTGAGTATGGTTCCAGAGTTCCTCAACCTTCTCTAGAAAGCTACAACTTCTTGCTGTTCTATTCAAATATTTTGCATCTGTAATTTCTTTAAAGAGGTGCCACTGCCATTCATGTTTCAACTGAGGATGGATTGCAGAAACATCCCGAGGATGTGCAACTTCCGATGGGAACTTGAGAACATTTTCCAGCAATGAAGTGTACCCTTCAATGGTTTCTGAAACCATTAAGTTTCTAGCAGGACCCTTTCCAATTGATGCAATATTCCGGGTCAATGGAGATAGTTTTCCTTTTGAGACTGCTTGGAGTAGAATTTGTGTTAGAGCTCCAATATTTTCCTTTGGGAAAAGATATCCATTCACCCTGTCATCAACCTAATTGTTATTGTGAAATGCAGTTAGCAGTTATCTTGGAAAGGACTTTTTTTTTATTAATTTGAAGTAAATTAAAAGAAGAGGAAATTCATAACTGAGATTGTAAATAATATAAGGCTTACACAGCTTTACTATTAGAGAACAGGACCCACACTTCTATATTAGGATTTAGGAGTATCAACCTAGTTGGATAATCTTAATCATCTGATAGTCAAAACACAATTGATTTGTAGCTGGGATCAACAGCTTCTCGTGGTAGAAGAGCTCCAAAGCTCCCCATCAAATAGTGGGTCCAACCCTAACAATGTGCACCACTCTAACAACATACACATCCTAGGCTAGCCCAAAATTCAAGTTATTAAGTAGCTTAGATTACCATCTAATATGCAGAAGAGAAAAAGGGTACTCAGGAAGCATACATATTTCCTAATTATTGCAAGATCTGGAGCAATAATTGTTTTTCCAAAGCACATAGACCTTATCAAAATCTCTGGAAAAGATTGCTCTTCAAGGAAGGATCCATAGATCACAAGATCAGCAGTGCTTAAAAAACTGTTCACATCTCCATCAATGCCAACATGCTTCATACTGCCCCTTGGATATCCCAAGTTTAAAGCAATGGCCTACAAAACGAATAAACTGTTAACATGAGTTTAATTAAATTGAAAATATAAGAAATAGTAAGGAAACTTAACTTGTCAAAACCAGAAGAGATGAGACTTTTTTTATAGGAAACAGAAGGAGATAGGGCGCAAGTTTTAAATGAAAAATTAAAATATTACCTCCACAGCTGCACTATAATTACTAGCTGAATTCCCACTTAAAATGCTGACTTTGAGATGAGAATTAGAACTATTATCAGATGGGAATATTGTGAAAAGTGGTAATAAGGCTTGTAAAATGAGTGCATGCTCCATCAACAGACCACTGTATGAAAATTGACTTCCAACAAGGGCAACAAGAAAGTCATCAGATCCAAAACCCATACTTTTTCGAAGATCATCCCAGTTGTACAAGGCCAAGAAATTATCTGCTTCCCATGCTTCAGCTGGAGAACCCGGTATCACAAAGTAGTTTCCGACATCAAAGATGGAATACATCATCTGAGGAAGTAAATAAATACATGTCATGGATAAGAACCAATCTAGCATTCCGATTATTGTTGACACATTATTAAGGAAACTGGTTACTTATATATTAAAAAAACACTAAGAAAACTGACAGTGACTGATCTGTATCAAGCATATAACTATAAGATTGTGATGTTGATTCAGATCAATCCCGTAGGAGATGTCCTAGGTCATGAATTGCAGAGTTTCTTTTGTTTTCTGAACAAGCAACTTGTCAACCAACTCATGATCCCACTACCTACGTGATCTCCTAAGTTGGTCCCTTACCTTTCCATATGTGCATCATGCATGCTGATACATGTCAATAAAATCACATTACCATAAGTTTGACCATACAGTTATTTATCAAACATTACCGGCAAGACGTAGTTGGGGAAGACGACAACAGTAGCTCGGTTGAATGCATCTTTCCAACTATTGACAATCTGAGTCTGTCCATTTGAAACGTATTGTCTTAAACGAGTAGCCAGTGATCTTTCGTGGATGGTCCATAGAACAGGTAACGATTTGAAAGGCTCGTGCATAAGACTGTATCATGCATAAACATACATTTTTCTTGGATATTGGTCTATAACATAATGTATAAACTATGATAGTAAGAATTAATTAGCAATTTTTTTTATTGGTAATTAATGAGGAAATTTGTACCCTCTAGAAAATACATTTCAATTGTAACAGGCATTTTCATTTATGGGGCATCTCTTCAGCCTCTAGAAACTTGGCAAATTTTTCCAATTCACATTGGAGGAGAACTACACCATTTATATGGAGGCATTTATAGCTCTAAAAGGATCTCTACAATTACCATAAGCAAACAAGTAATCAAGGCAAGCTCATGCAAAAACAAAGTTACACAAATCAAAAAGTGAGGCATGTTGACCCTAAAACCTTATTTTTTTACTTTCTTGGAGAGGATAAACATTTCAAAATGAAAAAAAAAAACGTTGGACCCAAAGTTAAAAGTATTGATACACACCTGTGTATTAGTACTAAAAAACATGTGCGGTTATATTTTTTTAGTTTTTTTTTCAAAAATTGGTTTTTGGGGAGGTTTTTTTTTCAAAAGGAGGTACGCTCACCTTAATGCGGAGTGTTCTTTCTGCACTCCCTATCTACTTTTTGTCTCTATTCCAAATGCCTGTAAGTGTTGCAAGGGTCCTAGAGAAGAAAATGAGGGACTTCCTTCGGGCAGGTTGGAGGAACACCTTCAAATTCAACTTGGTGAACTGGAAATTTGTGTGCCAGCCTAGAAAACTTGGAGGCCTCGGCATCAGAAATCTCAAAATGGTAAATAAGGGCTTACAAATTTTTGTTGGGACTCAGGTTCAACAAGGAAAGATACAGCCTCTGGAGAAGGCTTATTAGAGACAAATATGGGCTTACAAATTTTGATTGGGACTCAGGTCCTGGTCTATCTCCCAAGTCCTAAGGGATGTGCTTTATGGAGTAACATAGCCTCTATTCTCCCTGCTTTATTGAGGGGTATCAGATGCAAGGTTGGTAAAGGCAATCACCTCAAATTCTGGCATGACAGGTGGTGTGGAAACCAGACTCTACAAGAGAGATTTCCTTCTCTTTTCGAGATTGCTCTTGATAAGGATGCTGTGGTTGAAGACTGTTTTGATTCTGTGAATGGAGAGGTTATTTGGAGTCCCACTTTCAGAAGAAACATCAATGATTGGGAAACCGGTCCTCTATCTGAGCTGTTAAATCTAATTCAAATTTCAAAGCATCCAGCCTAATCTACAGACTGAAGATGAAAGATTCTGGGCTTGGAGACCCTCAGGAAAGTTCTCCCCTCAGTCTTTCTACATTAACTTGCTTCCATGTGAGGGTATTGACTTCCCATGGGCCTTGATCTGGAATTCTCATGCCCCTTCTAAGGTTTCCTTTCCGGTTTGGACTGCTGTTTTGGGTAAATGTCTTACCACTGATCGGCTGCTCAGAAGGGGGATGCTCCTACCGAACATCCTATGTCCTCTATGCAATGAAGTTCCTGAATCCTCCAACCATCTGTTCATTCATTGCAGCTTCTCCTCCCAGCTGTGGGGTTTGGCCTTTTCCTGCTTTGGAGTTCAATCTTGTCTACCTGAACCAGCCCTTCAGCTCTTGCAAGGATGGTCTCTCAAGGGTTTGAACAATAGGGGTAAATTGCTTTGGGGGATTTTCCCTTCTGCTATCAATTGGGCCCTCTGGAAGGAAAGGAACAGTCAAATTTTTGACAACACTTTTTCTGATGTAGTTTCAGTGAAAAACAAGGTTATAGGCTTTTTGTGTTCTTGGTTAAGTGTACAAAGGGCATTCAGGGGTGTCCAGCTTTACTTCTTTTTGCAAGCTGGACCTTTCTTTTGTTGACACTCTGTATATTCCTGTTGTATAGGCTTTCATTGTACATGGGCTGTTACTTTTAACTTTAATACAATTCAATACTTTACCTGCTTAAAAAAACAGGTGTATCGGGACCCCACAGATAAGATACACCCGATACGGGGCATATTGTATCGAAATTTTGATCCTTGGTTGGGCCCCATACGTATCATAGCACTAGGCAAAATGACACAAAGCAGATAATATACTCTACATGTCCTCAAGCTACTAAATTAGTATGTTGTAAAACATCTTAAGAACTGCTAACATGTTAAGTTGTTAACTTCTGTAAGATTCACAATGCAACAATATACCTTTGATGGAGATCTTTCTTGCTTCATTTTTCATAGCAGAGAATAAAGGGGTGAGTGTGATCGGCCAATATGAAGAATGAGAGGGAGAAATATCTTGGCCTCTAACCTTTAAGAAACATATAAACGACTGGGAACTAGATGAGCTGACTAGATTGTTGCAGAAGCTTGACAGATGGCTCCCTCAACCAGACAAGATGATGAAACAATTTGGAGATGGGATAAGACAGGCAAATTCTCAGTAAAATCCTTTTTCAACAAGATGAACTTCTCCATGAAGAGTTTCGTTATAAAGAAACATGGATTCAGCACATTCCATCAAAAACATCTCCCATGGTCTGGGGCTCTGGGCTACTACGTTGAGAAAATCCCTATCTAGAGATGGCTTAGTGAGGAGAGGAGCAAATAGCCATCTACTGCATGTGTTTTATACATAGAGGATAGGGAAACATGCAACCATATTTTCTTGCACTCCCCTTTCGTGGCAACTTTCTTTGATCATTTCTGTGGATTAGTAAATCACAGGTGATGCCACCCATGATCAATAATGAGATGTTAAAAGGATGGAAGTTGAAGGGTCTAAACAGAAGGAGTAAAACTCTTTGGAGCACTATCTCTCCAGCAATAATTTAGAACTTTTGGAAGGAGAGAAATGTCAGTTTTTTATAACCACTTCCAGTCTAGAGAAAAGGTGCTGCAATGGATGATTGCTTATCTTCATTCTTGAGGCACACGTCTTTCAAGGATGTCCTTCATTATGCTAATTTTCAACATGGTGTTTTGTTCACATAAATTACAGGTTCTTGTAATTTGTCGCCCTCATTTGGTGACATGGCATCCTAAAGGACTGATCTTCTTTTATAGCTCTTCACCATACATGAACAATACAATGCACATTTTGGGAAAACATACAAATTAGTACAATACCTTACTCAAAAAGTCAGCCTTCATGTTTCATTTTCATACAACAGTGTGAAGTTGCTGCTGTCAGACTCAAAGCTGCATTCTCACACTGTTTTTGAGAGGAAGAGTAACTAATTGCATTCTCACACTTGTTAGCTTGAGATTTTACCATTGCACCAAGCAATGGCCTCTAATCCACCTCTAACCAATTTTTCCCTAATTCCCAATCCTAGTACTCCAAGTCCTTTTTTTGGATAATTAACAGAACTGCCCTAAGTCCATTTCTTAACATTATAGTAAAATCCTTCTTGCCAACAATTCGCTGAGTGTACCTTTGAGATAACTCATTCATATCTGGGATGTGTCAACTAGTAAAACCAAATCCAACAATGAAACCATGAATGATTATATTGAACATTGTGATATATCAACATACCAAATACAGACTCTTGATGCAACAGAAGAACAGATCAGTAAAGAGAAGAAAAGCCAGAAGAGCATAGATTTTATAGCAATAAAAAAAATAATGAAACTGAAAAACATCTAAATATTAGTGAAACTGAAGTTTTATAAGGGAAAAGAATATATTTACCATGAGAGGACATCCCTGGTTTCAAGAGAATTCAGAAGTATACCATCATAGCTGCACAAAGCATCTTATTTGATTAGATGTAAAGAAGTAAAAAGACTACTTTCAATTAGAGCTTCAATTTGGGCCACGTTAGCCCAAAACCAACCCAGGAAGGTTGAATTGGGTTGGGGGGGGCTGAGGTTTGGGTTAGGGATAGGGTTGAAAAATATGAAACCGACTTAACTTTGGGTTGGGTTAGAATTGATTCCTTGGGCAACTCAATCCAACCCAAACCCGACATATCTTCATATTTACATGTATAAATATCATATAAACATATAAAGAGTCATTACCTAATGATGGTGCCAGTTGTCTGGGGTCTTAGGATGAGTAGACTGAATATGGTCCTAAGCTTAGGTATTTTTTTGCACAAAGAGGCTGCTCTCAAGCAGAATGAACAAAACAGGATTCATGTAGCTGATCCCATATAGTTGCAACAAGACTTAGATGCAGATGATTTCACATGGTTGTGACAAGGCAAAAATTAATACTCCTAAAGCACCATAACTATGTTCTTATGCATATAACAAATTAACAATGCTAACATGAGTTGCTAATCTTAAGTCTAAGAAATAGGAAGAACCGAAGAAGTTAGCAAAAAGAAGTCAACTAATTGGACCAACTCCAACCCCAACCTAACATGAAGCCATCGAATTGGATTAGGGTTGGGTTCAACCTGGCTGACTTGCATCACTACTGTCAATGAAGAGGAGCATTCTCTTGTCAATGAAAAAAAAAAAAAAAACAGTTTAACCCCTAGGCCATCACAAGTTCACAAAATAACAATCTCAAGTTTCTGAACTACATATACTACTATACTAGTCAATTTTAAACAACAAACCATCAAGACACTGAACAGTAAGAAGGGCACACAGAGCCCATAGGCCAGTAGACTATTGTTAGGAACTGAAGAGAATATTCAACTGAATTCTTCAGAACAAATGTCTAGTAGCATAAGATTAAAGTAGTGAAATAAGTTACATACTTCAACCAATCTATGACAATCTCTTGTTTGTTAATAGTGCGAAGAATAGTGGCAGGCAATCCTATATTTCTCCAGACAACATGCGCAGGACCATCTTCAAGTGAATAGACCTGCAAGAAACAAAACCAAAATCAACATCTACTCTTCAAAATATAAACATGAATCAAATGTACATGGTGCAAGTAGAACAGCAGGGTTGAAACTTCAATTTACATACTAAAGGATGAATTGCCATGTTTAACAAAAGGATCCGCATAGATATCATTTTTTTTCTTTCCTTTTTTATCAACCAAAAAGCAGTTTCTGGAAAAGAAAAAGATCTAAGCCTTACAGCAGGCCCGAAGGAAGGCCCTGAAGCACCTATCAACTAAACAACTAAGGCTTAAAAACCAAGAGAACTAGAGCTTCACTTTAAAAAACCCCAAAGTAAGTGATTAATAGAGGACAAGGAAGTAAGGCTGCAACTTGGGCCGGTTGGCCCTAAGTCCCTAACTCAACCCGAAAAAGTCAGGTTGGGTTAGGTTAGGTTAGGTTGATGCTCGGGTTAGGGTTAGGGTTAGGGTTGACCCCTTGGGCAACCCGACCCAACCCGAACCCGACTCTATAGTACATATCATACATAAATATATGTTATATATAATATATCATACATTGATTTGTTTAAATGCATGATAGTTATATAGCCCCCACCACATACTATCATTTATTTCTTTTAAGATAATCACTTCACTTAATCCTAATTGGAAATACTAAAACCTTAATAACATATTTTATGTTTTTTGAATATTTTATTCTTTATTTCCTCTCTGTTGTTTGCCACCCATAGCTTGTTGCCTATAAAAGATCTATTATAAGTCATAACTCATAATAAACTATAGTCATTTCCAACAATTTTTTTTTCTGAATTTTGTACTTAGAGAACCAATAAAAATATCAACAAACAAATACTAATAAAACATAGGATTAATATATGTAATGAAAGTTGAGTTAAGATATTAGATTAAGAAGTTCTACAAGATTTCTAGGGATGGGAAGAAGGTTGGGTTGGGTTAGGGTTAGGGTTGGGTAGGTCTGGTTGAAAGTCGGGTTGGATTAGGGTTAGGGTTGGGGTTTAGAACTTAGGGTTGGGCTAGGGTTGGCCTCAACCCAACCTAACCCGGCCCGACTTGCAAACCTACAAGCAAGGTTATTGTGAAGCTCTGGTTCTCTTGGTTTTACACTTACATTTGCATATATCAGACATTGTTTAATACAATTAATACATATTTGGCCTGGTTTGATCAGGTCAAGGGCTTTTCCCAATTCCAGCCACTGGAAATAGGTCGGGTTCACACTGGGCCAGGGTCAGTTCAAACAACCTATGGTTTTCTTTAAGTTGAGCTATAATGCCAGCTCCCCCCTCCCCCCCTCCCGGCGTCCACCTCATTTCTTTCTCTCTTTTTTTATTACAGCCCAAAGATCTTTTCCCAGTTCTAGCAACTGTAAATAGGTCAGGTTCACAACAGGCCTGGGCCAGCTCAAACTACCTATAGTCTCTTTAAGTTGAGCTATAATGGCAATGATTTGATTTGATTTTTACAATTTTTATATAGGACTATCAACAAGTTGGATTTAGAATGCGTTTACTAGTTCTGGATTTGGTGCACTGATACTCTCCATACATAGGCAATGTCCTTCAAAACCCATACTGGGCATAAAACAGGAAAAACACCCAGTTCTTTTTTCTTTTCTTTTCTTTTCCAGCTTAACCAGGCACAACCTCAAAACCTCATTATCTGAGTCAATGACATATACCATGTCAGTGGCCTTGCAACTCCAGCAAGGTTTTATTCAATAAAAGGTGGGACACCCATTCTAGTTCAATGACAGAAGTGAAACTCGTCTATATACTTTTAACTACACCCCTCCTACATTTTTTTATCAGTAACTACACCCCTCCTACATTTTTTTATCAGTAACTACACCCCTCCTACATTTTTTATCAGTAACTGCACCCCTCCTACTTTATTCTCTTTCTTCCCATGATTACAAGGTCCTTTGTTATTATTTATTTTTATTTTTATCAATAATTGAGGTCCTCTGTTATTATTTATCCCCAGTCTTCACCATCTATCTAATTTGATTATTTCTTGGTTTTAGTTGACCTCTTATTCTTTCTTCTCCATGGAGGGCCTCAAATTCATAATCCGATATCCTAAATTTCTTTTATATCAATCAAGCTATGAACTAGCTGGTTTCCCTTCTCTTAAACACCCTATACCCTCTAGACTTCACCTATATCAGTCTCTCCAATCTGTGAGAGGAAACCTTGAGACCAATAAAGAGCACAATTCCTCTTCCTCAATCAGGCCATAATTCATGTGTAGAGGCCATAGGTTGCAGACAAGAAAGAAACAATGCAAGGGCATCAAGGTGAAATGCATCCCTCAGATTCAACACAACATCACCCCTCCCCAAAAAGATAAAAAAAAAAAAAAAAACTTTCCTTTAGCTATGGGTGTGGGTACGGTTGGTTTTGTTTATTCGTGTGTGTGTGTGTGTGAGAGAGAGAGATTCTGTCGTCCAACTTATGAATTCTGTAATATTCAAAACTCTCTAATTTGACCATATCTTTAAATATTGCATAAGGAATTTAGGATGCATTTTAAAAGTTGTGCATGAATGCATAATTATGCTTGCAATGTTGGAAAAACTCCTATTGATATTAATAAGAGTAGCCGTAGTCTTCTGCAGATTATGGATCCTATTTCCTGGAAACACTCACTCTTAGAAGATGGAATTCCAAGATTCCAGGAGCTCCTGCTCTCAGATAATGAACTGAGAATCTAAGCAGGAGGTTGGAATATACTAGCAATCTTCTTCACATGAATTAGGCCACTAAGGTTGGAATATGCAAAGTAGGTTTAACATTTATCTTTTCCTCCATCAAGTTTATCAAAACTTGCCTCTTACTAAAGTTTCTTACTGAAGTTTCTTCTTGAATTGTATATCAGCTTAAATGGACTGGAAGTCATACATCTTCATGTTCCTGACAATGGGCAATCTCGCAGATGGTTTAAATAGATAATCAGTATTCCTCATTATAATACAAGACTTAAGATTTTTCAAACACACATAAGAAACATAAAACGGATATGCTTAACAAACCGGGAAAAAGGCTCCAGCAGAAAACTCCAATTCAGGACCACACTATAGAAAAACAGAATTCTTAATACCTGAATTTCATATCCAATCTCCTGCAAAGAGAGAGCAACGCTGACAATCAGCAGTTGTTCTGGTTCTACCAACAGATCTGCCAAAACCTGCATGAAAATTATAAGAAGTTAAACAAATTAAAAAAAAAAAAAAACCAACAGAGACCCAGAAACAAGAATTCCAACCAATATATCATTACACTGCCGTCTGCCTGACAAAGGCAAAAATGTAATCGAAATTATTATTTTTTTAATGTAATCGAAATTCAATAAGGCAACAAAGACGCGAAAACTTAATATACCAAGAAATGAACACATAATGAGAACCAAAAGATAGCAAACGAAAATAAAGAGGGAAAAGAAAGTGGAGGGACAGTAACCAAGGCAAGCTGCGGCTTCCTGACTCCTGAACGCACTCCCGGTCTGCTCGAAACTGAAGATGAATTCGCCTCTATAGCCTCTCGTTGGAACTTGTCCAACAACTTGGATGGCTCAAACCTGATTCCTTCGCCGAAGTCTAAGCCATCCATATCCTTTAAAAACATCCAGTTTCCAGAGCTTGGCTCCATTTCTTCAACCGAATCTCCGGATTTCTCCAACACAGAGCCAGGCAAAAACGCCTGGAACAAAATAATAACGAAGAGGAAAACGGCAATGGTACAAATCCATTGGAGGTAGTCAACCTTCTCGAATAGCAAGAAACGAGCAAAGAAGCGAGTAAATCTGGATCTGGGTCTATGCAAGAATGGGTGTCTATCGCCTCTGTTGGAAGACCCAGAACGAAGCAGTGGAGCCCTCTTTAATGGAACCCCATTCTCTAGAGAACCCATCTACAACTCCATAGAACTTGCTGAGAATGGAAAACCAGTTGAGAAACAGCTCGAAACCAAATCAAGAACAACACCCGGCAAGAACAATAGCAAAGCTGCAATCTTGTTTTGTCTGTTAGTGATGAGACTGTATTTTTATTGCGTTAAATTTTCTTACAGATGGAGATCGGAATCTGATCTCTGCCATTAAAGAGTGCAAGATGGCTGTGACCTGTGAGTAAAGGAAAGAGTAAGGAGGAATGAAGAAGGATGGGGGCTGTGTAGGTTAAGTTCCGTGCGCATCCTTTGTTGACGTGTATGCGTTTTTCACAGGTTTTCTCAGAATAACAAACCAAACAAGGGAAAAAAACGCGTTTTTCTGTAATAATATATAGCAGATCAGAAGCAAATGAGGCAGCTAAATCTTTGGATAATTGGATGGTAGAATCTTACCATCCCCGGTTTATAGAAAGTTTGTCTGTACACTGTAATCCGTAGACCGTAGAGTAGGAGTAGCCGAGTAGGGTCTAATTTACTGATGAGGCCTTACTTTTCCGTGGAATTACTAAAATGCCCGTTAAAGGTTGAACACTCGAACTTTTTTAGATTTTTCACTTGAAATTTGGCAAATATTACGTAAAAGCCATTTTCATTCCTACTTGTCTAACGGTACATGGTAATACGTGCGTTACGATATCTTTGATCCCATTTCAATGGCATTTGATGCAATTCTTTTATCCATCCATCTTGCCCGGGCAGCATCGACAAAGCGGATCTGATCTCAAACAATTACGACATAGAAACTTAGAAAGCGTGAATACTTCAACGACTTCTTAAGTCAACGTTTGCATAAAAGGATTAATCTGAGGATACCATGATCATGGGAAACACGAGTCAGGACTACAGTTACTGAAAATTAGGGGGTGTTTGGCCTTTAAAAGTTTAGAAGGTCAAAATTTGGTCTTAAGGCTGTGTTTGGTTGCAATGCAAATAAATTTGCATTGATGCAAAACTATGGCAGTGCAAATTATTTGAGTGTAAATTCTGACCTATTTTTATTTCAAATTTTAGCTTATTTTGTTTGGATTGCAGTATAAATGAAGTGAATTAAGACATGAAGCAGAATAAAGTAAAACCCCAAACAAAATTAAATGAGAATTTGTATTTTTTTCATTTGCACTCTCATATATTTGTACTAGTGCAAATAAAGTTGCATTGCAACCAAACGCAGCCTAAGGCTCGATTTGAAAAGAGTACAAATACAAATATGTACAATACAAATGTATACAAAATATAAGGTTTTGCATTTTATATTTTTGTTTTTATACTGGCAAAAAGACCTGTACCCTAGGAAACTCAACGAAACCCACAACAACTGGAAATCAAACAATTTTGATCTTTAAAGATAAATAGCCTAAAACCTCTGTACATCTTTTGGTCATATGAATCAATGATAGATATTTCTAAAAATACTTGCGAGATCACACCTAACTAAGAATGGTAGAGCGAGGAATTTTTCTTAGGGGGCGTTCTTTTTTCAGATTTTGAGAGGGGGAAAGTTGGTCAATGGGGTTTTGGTTCTCATTGACCAAGAATTCCATGTTCTTTTTTAAGATTTATGTGGGGACTAGGGAAAGATTATTTTCCTGCGTAAGTGGTACCCATCTCCTAGGTGGGTAAATAACTTTCTCATCTAGGGGGAAAGTTGCCAACACTTGAATGGGACAAAAATGCCTCTTTTAATAATGGATTTTTATGGCTAAAATGGTCATTGCCTTATTTATATGAGAAATAAAAGAACATGGGTAAATGCACTTACCCAAGTAAGTGTTTCTCAGGAAAAACTTACCCAAGTAATTGCATTTATCCGGGTAAGTAACTTACAAAAAAGTGAACAAGGCCTTAGCGGGCCAAATTATGTGTAGTTGTACTCAAGACATGCTAAACGCTCAAAAACATATCATGGTTGAGGCGGAAAGAGAGAAATAAAGAGCTTTATATTTTTATAAAGGGTAAATTACAAAGACCCCCCTGTACTTTGTTTTGCGACAAAGACCTCTTTGTACTATGACCGTGAGACAAAGACCCCCTTCCGTTAGCTTTTCGTTGAAATTCGCCGTTCCAATGTTTTTTAATCCCCATACTACCCTTGTAAGCAAAATCTTTGCAATTTGAAGATTTACTTACTGTTGGTTATTTCTTGCTGTTGTCGGAGTTCGATTGTGCTCAGAATTTGTCGATGGCCTGTATTAGGGTTCAGTTGTGGCGGTATTCATTAGCCGGTAGCCTCTTGAAGGTCTGCTTGAGAAGGTCACTTCCGATGATGTGAACACTGGGCTTGGCTACATTTATGTGAGGAGTCACATCAAAGATGAGTCCTACGAGGAGGCCAAGGCTGAGGAGGCGAGACTGTTTTAGTCAGATCCCCTTCTCTTGCAGATCGACAAATCCATCGTGGGCATCCTTGTTTTGGTTAGGAGGCTGGTGCAAATCCAAGCTGCTAGTCTCGTGAGATGCTTACTGAACATCGTGAAGAGCATCAACGACAAGCTCAATCTGAACGTTTCTGAGCTCAACAAATTGCCCCATCGTCTATCCTCCCCGGTGGAAGCCATGACTGCTTGCATGCGGATTCTTGGGTCTGCAAAGGAATCCCTCAAGAAAATCCTCGTGAGAGGGGAGTTTGACTAGTACTACAAGGAGCTCAATCTATAGCGCAAGGACTCCAAGGAGAAGTTCTTAATGGAGGAAATCCTAGTGCTGGAGGAATCCAAAGAGATTGAACTTCCCAAGTTAGTGTGGAATTACATAGAAGAGGTGGTCGTATGCATGCCGATGCAACATTCAGAGAGCTACCCACAACTTCAATCTTGCACAGAAGAGCAGCGCAAAAACTGATTGGCAAGATGAAAGACCAATCGGTTAACTGAGTAACAGAGATCGTGGAAATGAAGAAGATGACGGATTATACATGCAACCTAGATTGCATGTCAACTTGGTGAGGGCTCATGGCGAAACAAGAGATCTTCATGCAGAGATTCAACGATCCCTACCAATATTAGGGTTGGGGACTGTTGAACTGCGGCATCTAAGAGAATATGGGGGGATGGTGCAACAAGCGTTCAACTTGAGAATGAGGATTAGAGCTTACTGGATGATTGTATTGCAGAGGCTGGTCGTTGCAACGAGTTATGGAGGCTATGGTCGAGAGGAACGAAAAATAGAGGAAAGCGGAAAGAAGAAAGGGGAAGGGGAAGAAGAGAAATCGAGAGAGAGAGAGAGAGAGAGAGAGAGAAATGTGAAGGAATCTAAGGTAGAAGGGGTTATGGTCGTTGTTGTTTGCGTATCCTGAGGTAGTATGGAGATTAAAAAATATTGGAATGGCGGATTTCAATGGAAAGCTAACGGAAGGGGGTCTTTGTCTCACGATCATAGTACTGAAGGGATGAGAGATCCAACATATGAATGGCCGAACCCTGCAGGTAGGTTGGGCGAAATTTCAAAAATTTCTCTCTCTCCCATCTAGGAATCGCATTCCCTGTTTTAGAAAATCTGCATTTTCAATGATAAATCTTGAACCAAGAACCATACCAGATCTGAAACCAAAAGGTAGGAGATGAAGATACCTGATATGAAGAAATAGTATCCTCCAATGAAGGTGTTCACGCCCAAAGAAGTCTCCAAAGACTGCTCCCATTGAAGATGACATAGTGTAGGGTGGAGCAGAATCAATAGTGTTCTTCCCAAGAATCGAATCCTTCAGCAAGAATTCGATGGAGGCTGTGAGCACGACTTCAGATCAGCCTTTCTCCAAAGATTGATATCAAGAACTATTCTTGATTGCTCATACAAAACTGGAGATCGAACTGGCAATGGCGGCAGCAGGAGAAGGATGCAAGGAGAAGATGGCATAGTCACACTGTTGCTGTCTTCTCTCTGTGTGGTCTGAGATCTGATCTTTGGGATGCTGGGGTCTTGGATGATCTAAATAGTTCGCACCCTCCTCCTTTTATAGACTTAAAGAGATCAACTCCTAATCTCATTAGGAGTTTCCTGATTCAAATCCTTATTTGAATCTAGACTCTCTTTAAGTGACAAGGATAAACCCTTATCTTATCTGCAGATTAGATCAGCTCTCTCCTAATCTCATTAAGAGGTTTCCATATCCAAATTCAGATCTGGACTCTCTGAGTGGATAGGGATAACTCTCTATCCTATCTGTTGATCCAATCCCAGATCCGCTCCTCTCTTTAATTAGTCTAACTAAATCAGTTCGAAATGGGCTTTAGGCCCAATAAGTCTTATGTGCTCAGTGGTCTTCCAAACTGCTGCCTAGTTGGGCTTCTTTGTATGGCGTGTGACCCAAACATTGATCTACACATCAACCACATGGGTTCAGCCCAACCTCTGTTACAAGGCCTAGCCGAATTCATTGAAAAGACAGTAAACCCCTTGAAGCCCATCACATGGGCTCCTAATGAGCCCAACACTTACACTAAGTGGTCCCTGGGCCAAGCCACCTTGTAACACCCAGGGACTGTGGGCAGATGCAAGGTTAGCCCATCAGGTATTACCCTCAATGGTCTTACACTTAACCTCTCAGCCTATAATGATCAAACACTGCCCGATAAGAGATGACCTCTCCCTTGGCTGCAAGAAACAGTGTTGCACTCTCTACTCACATGGATCCCGGGAATTAAAACCTTTTGCAAACATTTTGAAACCGTAATATATGCATATCTGATTTAAAATATACTTTGCAAAACAAATTTCAACGGTTGAAATCAGCTGCCGGCCGTCTTGGTTTCCATCAGTCAGAGTGCATCCCCGATCATTACCTTTGTTCGACAAAGGGGCTGATCCTGTCACTATGATCACCCACTCAGATGAATTCTCGGACTGTCCCAACATACCTAGGTTTTGACCCCCTCTAAGGATCTCACTGATTGGCATATCAAAAACAGCCCAATCCGACACCTAGTGCAGTATCATAATTGAGTCTAGGGGTCAGGTGTAACTTTCCAATTTTGCCCATTAATCTCCAAGGTCCAGGGCAATACTAGAAATCTGGTCCGGTTCAGGGTTTCAAGTAAACCTACACTACATGTACCTCGGGTCTCACCCTAGCAGTTGAGACAGGCTACCCCAACACTTGGCGGCACATCAATGTCAGCCTTGGTAGGATAAATCTCCCCAGACTTATCCAACGGCTGTGAACATTCTAAACTAACACGAGTTTCATAAGTGTCCAGTTTAAGAGTATTACACAGAAACACACCATAATAACATGAATCAAATATGTACTTTATTCATTTGCAATAAATGTCATAATGTACATCATTCTGATTGGAGCTAAGGGCATACACTGTCTAACAAGTATAAGGGGGTCTTTGTCACAA